CTGAAGTTGTAGATTTGTACCCTCTTTATCATTTATTAATTAAATATTTAATCTTTTCAAACCCTACACATACTTTAAAACATTACCATGATCCCATTTATACCGCTACAGTTACATTAAAAATAATGTGACATAAAAGTAAAGGCGCAGATGTATTCCTAAAAAACATTTATTAATATTCAATATTATTATTCATAAATATTTTACTTTACAGAAATAACGTACGAGTATTAATTCTATGAAAAGTATTATTAAGCTCAAATAATCGTACATTACAACAGAAACATTTGAAATATTTCTATTACTCCGAGATCAGGTTCAGGTTGTGCGCCATCTTGGTGCGCATACTTCAAGAGGTCCGACTGATAAATTGCCTACATATTCAACATTTTATTATCATAAAAAAGTTCATTGTAAAAGCTTTTTGGCAATGTATGCTTATTTTACTTTACAGAAATAACGTGCTGGTATTCATTCTATAAAAATATTATCAACCGTAAATATTCATACATTACAACAGAAACATTTGAAGTATTTCTATTACTCCGAGATATTAACTGATAAGTTACCTACATGTTCAGCATTTTACATTTTGTTATCAAAAAAAACAGTTTGTTATGAAAGCTTTTTAGTAATGTATAATTATTTTACTTTACAGATATAACGTGCGAGCATTATAATCATACACTACAACAGAAACATTTGAAATATTTCCATTACTCCGAAATATTAACTGATAAATTGCCTACACTTTCAGCATTTTACATTTTTTTATCACAAAAAGTTTATTTGAAATCATTTAGTAATTCATAATCATTTTACTTTACAGAAATAACGTGCGAATATACATTTAATAAAAAATAATATTAACCGTAAATAATCACACATTAAAACAGAAACATTTGAAATATTTCCATTACTCCGAGATATTAACTGCACTTTCAGCATTTTACATTTTTTTATCACAAAAAGTTTATTTGAAATCATTTGGTCATTTTACTTTACAGAAATAACGTGCGAATATACATTTATTAAAAAATAATATTAACCGTAAATAATCATACATTACAACAACCGAGTAATTAACTGGTAAACATATATCAAAAATGCATTTCAATATGAAGCAACAATGACATTATGAATTAAATATCAATACAATGTCATATTGACTCAAAAATAAAGATACATGACAAATAATCGATCCACATTGAAAATTCAAAATTTAGAACTACGCACTTGGGCGGCATGAATCGTTTTAGAGAATGAAATGTGTATCATTACGGATCATTAAACCCGTTACAAATTTTTAATCATCCAATCATTCATGTATATTAAATTTAATTTTAAAATAGTTATAGTTGATAAATGTTCTCTGACAACGATAAAGGCCTTATACTACAATATAAATAACAGTATCTGCTATATTTAGAATTACGATTTAAAAGTGTTTACCATGTACTGATTTTATTTTACTTTTCAATGATGTTTACTGAAAGCAACCGTATTTGTTACCGCAACAAGTTGGAAAAATTCAATTTTATTATGCGGAGATGAAACGTATAAAATTAGTTGTTTTACATTCACCTAAATTGGGTAAAATGTTATCAGTAATCTAATCTGAGCATAATACCAAAATATTAAACATCTCAACCTTATTCTGATTTGATCTTCTTTATTGAATTACCGGTAGATGGTAAACGCGTTACAATGTATTTTTAAAAACAACGCTACACACAACATCACGAAATTACAAAATTAACTTTATTATAACAGAATAACCTTCAATGCACCGCAACAATATGTTTGAACATAAACGCTGAAATTCCCTTATAGAGTTCATAAACGCTGCCATGACCAATTTCATCAAAATTTATTAAAAATGCACTTCAACGTCCAGGCGCGAATACATGAAATTACGATCATATCTCCCATAAGCGACGTCACAAATAATCTCGTGGCTCTACATTTTGGACGCAGTTGAGTAATTTTTTATGTACAAACCGTTATGCTAAATATAAATCATAAAATACCCCATACCGAGTTTAGAGGCCCGCCATGAACAACTCCGCAACTCCAATGCAACATGTAATGTGTAGCAATTATACGCTACAAAGCAAACGATTTACCTTCATACCGCTTCTTAACACCTCATAAACAACTTCATCAACTTATAAAAACAAATCAGTAGACAACAATATTTCTCTTCAGATATACGAAAGCTGCACCACAAGTCACTTCGTATTTCCAATATGAATTTTCAAGAAGTATTTATTTATTTTCCACATTAACATAAAATCTAACAATTTAATATTATACCAAAACATTCAAGTAAAATAAAATAATTCAAATTCTTCTTCAATCTTTTAACAATAATTAAATATCCTTCATATTTAACGAGATATTTAGTAAAAAAGCATACGTTAACAAATAACCGGATAAAATTTATCGTCAAAATTTCAGCAATCCCACTCGCGGTTCATTTTTCATTCCTTTGTTTAAAGTTTATTTTCATTTTACAGTATCACCACTGTTTAGTTAATTTTCCTATAAATTCACGGATTGATATATTTCCGATTTTGTTTAATCGTTTGCGACAATGCGAAATCTCTACGTAACTTCTCTTTCATGCATATGAAACAAAATTTAAGAACTGAACAGCTCATATACTGAAACAACTCTATACTCTAAATATCAGAATCCTTCTCACTCACATCAATCTAAGTGCAAAATAATTTCGCGATACTACATTATTGTCACATGATAATCATATTCGTCATCGAATTAATCACGGTTGAATAATCTGAGTTATGTTTTAATAAGAAATGATTTAAAAAACCCAATATGTATATTGTTACGTGTAAGTAAGATACTTGAATAAAGTCATGTGTCTCACAATCTGTTTGGAATATATCAACTTTCGGGACATATATACATGTGTGTAACCGCTATTTGTTTGTATACATGTTTCATGAATGAAAACAAAATCTTTGCAATTTTTATCATGGCCATAGCGATATTTTAGTATCGTAACATGGTTACACCCATATGCATAATACGTAGCTACTGCCTCTGCTGATCTCTGCCGAGTGTAATACGGCGCCAAATCAATTCTATCATAATAAAATACTAAAATAGAAACAGCTCTGTCAATTTTCAGCAAATCGGTTACGGGCAATACAACTTTCATTCTGGTCGACTAAACAAAATCCAAGCAAAAAAATAATCTTTCCAACTGCTTAATCAACATTTTATCTTTACATAAAATTTATACCAATGTATCAAATGTCAGAAGTATTAACAAAATAATTTTATTAGTTCATTACTGAGCATTCAATATTTGCCACATTTGAAGATTTGTTAATAAATATGCACACGCTAATAAATTAACGCATGCTGAATTTTTATGGTGTATAATTAGATACCATCGCAAGAATTACCGCAGTTCAATTAACATTTAAACTTTTCTACTTCACTCATTAAAATTAATCGCACGCCAAAGCATAAAACATTTTCTTCATTTTGAGAAACCTTTCACACAACAGTCTCAATATGTTAAAACTACAAAGCCGCCCCGCATAGTACGACCAGTGGTATAAAATAAATTATGTGGTCTGATACTACACGAAATGGTGGATACTGCGTTAGTTTTGTTATTAAAGCTGCAAACCTTAAAAACCTAACCGACTTTTTATTCATAATCGCAACAATATTCCAATAAAAATAAGCACCAGATGGGGGGTTTACTTGTCACGCTGAATCTATTTCATCATATTTATTGAGATATTTAGTAAAAAAGCATACGTTAACAAATAACCGGATAAAATTCATCGTCAAATTTCAGCAATCCCACTCGCATTTCATATTTCATTCCTTTGTTTAAGGTTTCGTTTCATTTTACTGTATCACCACTGTTTAGTTAATTTTCCTATAAATTCACGGAGTGATATATTTCCGATTTTGTTTAATTGTAAAAATAACTAGATTTTTCTGTAAATAATTTTTCTCTCTTTTACATTCTTTATAAAAACAAACAGTGTAACAGCGCTACACAGCAAGTCTTGTTGTTTACGGCACAAGCCATTAAAAGAAAACGATTGCGCAGATTCACTTACAAACATAGCTGATATTTTCTTCATAAGCGTCAGAATATTTCAAAGTAAACAGTTTATCATAGTCAAGCAATCATGATGTTTTTCTCGCATTGATCAAGTTTCAACAAACTCTTTCTTCGTTTATAATAAGACACTATTCCATTTAAACAAAACGATTGCGCAGATCTTCTCACGCAGTTTTATTATCTAATTATTCACGGTAACTCACTTCATCACGCTGAGGTCTTATCGATCAAGAAAGCGAAAATACGACCCCCATAAAGTAATAACGCGATTTTTCTCTTTCCCTAATTTGCCGAAGTCTTATTTATTATACAAGCGATTCCACCACCGTTTAAACAATAACGCGACAAGCGATTCCACCCCGTTAAAACAATAACGCGACTTTTTCTCTCTTCCCAGTTTGACGAAGTCTTATAACTTAAAGGGCGAAATTTAAACAATAGCGCGATTTTTCTCTCTCCCCAATTCCTCGAAGTCTTATAACTTAAAGGGCGAAATTTAAACAATAGCGCGATTTTTCTCTCTCCCCAATTCTCATGTCAAGGTCTTATCGAGCGAAAGAGAAACACCCCTGACCACTCTAGCGAATACTCTAATACCTTACCGAAAAAGTGAACATGTCCTGTCCATGTAGAGCAATGTGAATGTGGAGCAATGTGGAGTAAGAGCATTGTGGAGTATTGTGGAGTATTGTGGAGTATTTGTGGAGTATTTGTGGAGTATTTGTGGAGTATTGTGGAGTAATTTACCAATTCTGGACAACATCATATACTACTGATGATTACGATATCAACTCCTCGTGCGTTAATGTTCACATCCATGATTTCCATTTCTATGTAAATACTTAAAATTTTGTGTTGTGCTAAAACTGGACATCAAATTTAGATAGATGTTCTTCCAGAAGTAGTGAAGGCCGTGAATTGCAGAGTTGATGTTTATTTTGACGGAGGAATCCGTAAAGGAACAGACGTAGCAAAAGCGATCGCTCTTGGAGCAAAAGCAATTTTTGTTGGAAGACCCATACTCTGGGGACTAGCATGCAAAGTTTGTGACAAGATGTTATCTGTATTTAATTAACCTATATGTTCCAGAAAGCTATTGTATTAATCCATTTGTTACATGATCCACACACGATGGTCGATGGTGAAACGTGCGGTCTATTGAGTTTTGTGTTAAAACCCTTTCGAGTCAAGAGTAAGATTACATTTGCAAAAAGTGAAATTATCCTAAAATTGGTGCAAATTATTCTAATGGACGTGGAATATATTCTCTTTACACAACGTTAAAACCAAACAACCTTTCAGGGCGAAGAAGGTGTGCGGAATGTTCTTGAAATTCTTAGAAACGAATTTATTCACACAATGCGTCTTCTAGGTGAGTTATATATACCTAATATAACATAATGCAGCATTGGTGTTATTCGGATAAGTTCTACTTGTTTAAAGTTATTTGATTTTTCAAACAAACTTTCAAATTATTAACTATCAACAAGGATTTCTTCCAGTTTTACCTCGTAGACTAGTTACCAAATTACAATTACCAGATCGCAAGTGCAATTCCCGATGGCACATATCACCATAAATTTTAACAAAACAGCATAGCAGAAGGGTTAGAAACTTTAGCTTAGTGTTGTAACAATAAAGCAACGTTACTAATTTTTTTTGTCTTCTACAGGAGTTTCTACGATAGAAGAATTGCAGACGACACCAGACATAGTTGTTCACGAAACAAGATATTTCTCGAAACTTTGAATATATATATGCATATTGAAGTCTACACATACATATTTTTTCAATCCATTTAAAAAACAAAATGCAGCAAGTGCAGACTTGAGAAATCAAAAAACGAATTGGATTGAACAAGAAGCATAACATCTTGCATGTGGTCAACACTTAGTTGTGGTTTCAAAATCCGATTCATTCAATTAAAAGAATTGTAAATTAAGATTTATTTTACTTACTACTCCTATCCACAGTAGCCTATTTTACATTCTATATATATGTCTTTGTTCAAAGCGACCATCTTTGTTGCAAAGTTATGAATTGAAGGCCCAAACTTTGGTCGTCTGAAGGAGAAAATTCTGCCATTATAATGTTTGTAACGAGTAGTAAATGATGAAAGCTGAATCCCATTGTATGTGTCATTCTCGCAATATGCGAAGCTAAAATCGAGCAATCAATTCAATTTAAAAAATATAATTAGGCGATATTCAAGGAAAGTATTATACAAATGTAAGGCATATTGAATACTCCAGCACCAGATATACGAAATCCTCACACGCGCGAAGAGCACTTCTACCGCTCTCGTTGCTCGTTCGCTATCTGCCACCAGCCAAGTCAAGTTTGTTTTTCCCAACAAGTAAAAAAAATCGTACACAATTTACAAAAAAATGATATTCACAGTTTAACTGAGGAGGAAGTCGCGGGTAACCAAAACTGGTTATCGAACAGCGACACCCAAGGTTCTAATATTCAATCCAGACTGGTAATTTTCTAGTTTCAAAATTTTGTTATTATTGGTAAGTATCATATGAGTTTTGCTAAAAAAGTCAAAGCAACTTTATTCTCCATTTATCATTGGTATAATACTATAATGTGAAGGTTGAGCCAAGTGACACAGCTTGATAATACCCGACTTCATTTCAGTCAAAAACATTCTTGTCTCTTGAATCTCGTCTGACATTGTCGAGGGAATCTCTCTTGATATGTTGAAGTGCGGTCACTGCACTAAATACACGCTTTACCAAGAATGTGCTGGCAAGAGCAATAAAAAAACATTTGACCCGATCTCACACGTGAGGATATTTCAATTTAATTCTGTAGCTAAAAAGATGGAAGAATGAAAGTCTGAACATGGGTTTGAAAGAATAAACCCAAGGGTACTAATGCTTTTTCACTTCTCGAAATTCAGGGTATCTATAAAACGGAAACCAAAAGTTTCTTAAACTATCTCCAAAAAAATCATTCAATTTTATTTGGCTTGAACTTCTGTTTGCGTATGATATACTCAGAAGGTTTGCAAAATTTTCAACCACTTACTTGGTTTTATGCTAGGGTTGCCAACTTTGTGTTAAACCATTCCGGGACACCTTAATGCGGGATCGTCCAACCCGTGGGCCACATGTGGCCCGCCCAAGGTTTCCGAGTGGCCCGCACGGTAATATTTGAATCCCGATGTATTTCACAAATCTGAATCATTAATGAAACATCTACAAAAAATAATTACTTGTCGTTCAAACTCGCGAGAAGCACCACACAGCTATCGAAAGCTTTTTTAAGTCACTTTGCGGGCGTTATTGCTGAAGAGATATATTTCAACTTATTTTTATCGTCTGTCATAAATGCAGTGCCATACTTCGCATTGAAATATCTAAGCGCGATAAAAACACAAAAACGCGAGTGATGATCGCGCAGCGTTATTTTCACAAACTCTAAGCCTCTAAATAATTTTATCATAATAAAAGACACTTGCGAAATGTTGAATCTTTGAGGCATTAATTCAAAAAAACACGAAAGCAGGAAAATTGTACAAGCTGTGCTAATCAGTTCAATTATTTAACAAACAAAAAACACAAAAAATCAGTCTTTCTGGTATTTAAATTTGTATTTTTCTTGCGATTTAGCCGCTTTGAGAAGATCTTTATCTTTGCTGATAGACTCGTAAAACTTATTGCATGGCATGTGAAAGTTCATTTTCATCAGCAGTTCAACTTTAACGAGATTAAAGTTTAGTTTGTTTCCACTGTTGGTCCAAAGCGCATTAATAATACTGAAAACTCTTTCACAATTGGCGTTTGATACTGGAATTGACAGGACGAATGACACAAGACGCAACAGTTGTGTATCGTCTGGCTGCTGAGTGGCAAAGAACTTCACCCACCTGTTTGAAACGTCACAAGTTGAGCGTAAAAGTTCACTGCGAACCTTTCTCAGCGCACACAGTTCTTCATACAATTTATCGAAGTCGAGACTTGTGCCCAAGCGTTCAACAAGTGACAATAAACCTGTCCATTCAATGTCATTTTCAAGAGCAAGTGGGGCTATGTCCTTGAAAAACGAATGCTCATAGTCATACCGGTTCCATTACATTTGAACCCACGTACATTTGATTGAACCCATGACAATTGCACCTGTATGCTATTGCACCTATGGAATTTTTTTTGTTTCACGGATAGTTAAACCCATACTAACCCTAACCCATGGGTTTTAGCACCCGCATATAGATTGAACCCGTGGATATACGCATGGGTTCAAATGTACATGGGTTCAAATGTACGGTCACCAGTCATACCATCTACGTAAGTATGACAAACTACGTTGAAAAAAATGGTCAACTGCCTGCATAAATTTTTGTCTGTCTGAGAAATTGACTTCGACGGACTTAAGAAGTTTTGTAGCATTACTTCCATAAAACTTGTCTGCGCATTGCTGCTGTAGCTTTTCCTTAACACTCGCCATTATTCCATGCAGTTCTGTGGCAGTAGTAGCATTTGATTCAAGCCGTTTAATGGCTTCTTCAAAAATATTCAGTACATTATGTACAAAATTCAAAATACAATGTGGAAGAATGTTAAGGCTTTCCTCACAAGAAAACCCTGTCCAAATAATGTCAGCTACATTGTCTTCCCCTTGCGATATAAAATATGATTTCAGCGCTGGCCAACACAATAACAGTTCATCAATAGCAGGTAGTAGACTTAGCCACCTTGTAAGTACATGTCTTAATAACTCTTTATATTCAATATCGACGAAACTACAAAAGTCTCTGAGAGCTTCAGATTTCTTTGCCGATGATGCAAATGAATTATAAGTCTTAATAACGAATGACTCCACATCGCAGGCAAAACCCTTCAAAGCGTATTTCACACAGTTGTTGAGAACATGGCAATTGCAATTCGCCTGTACAATATAAGAATTAGGTAATTTCAGTTTCTGGTAAACTGAAGAATGTTTACCGTAGTTAACTGAGGCATTATCGGCAATGCATGAACAATTGCTTCCGAAGATCCATTACTATCATTGTAGATGCCTAGTAAAGCATCGACACCACCAGTGTAAAAAACCACTGGTTCGAACAACTCTAGGGAACAACTTCTTGTTGCTCATATTTGATGCAGCAGTTCCAATGCTAAAAAAGAACACATTTTGCAAGTTTTTAATGCACATTTCTTGCGCTTTGGGCCCCAAAACACATTCAACATAGCTGGCTGCCTTGATGCGGCCACATGATAGCTTGGAAGCAACTGCAGAGTCAGGACACAGTTTTTTGAGTAGTTTATTGCCACAATCTTGACTGGCAAAGCTATGATGATGAATAACGCCATGGTAAGTTGAAACCAGTTCAGCTAAAATCACAAGCTGTTCTACTTTGCTGTCTTTCTTAACGAAAAACGCAGACAAAGTATTGTTTTCTTTCTGCAAAATAATAGTCCTTTTGTGTTTTAGCATGACTAGAAACGGCGTATTTACCATCATATTTAACAGAAAAGTACTGTCGGCAGAGTGTGCAGTTTGCAGTAAAATCATCAACTTTAGATAGCCATGACATGCCTTCTTGTAACCATTCTGAACGGAAAACACAATATCGTTTTGAAATTTGAGTTGGGTTGCGCGAGACTAACTTCCTATCTTTTCTCTATGCCTTTATGCTAGTGGATCCGTATGCGTATACTGCAAGGATACTGTAGCTGGAATAAACATGACTATTCTATTCAATTAAAGAGTCCAGCTGCACACTAACACAAATGTATTTCTGTAACGTTTCGTCCGACCAGAGTCAGACTTCCTCAGACAAGCAGTTTACAACAAACGAAAGTTTGCCTTTCTTTTTGGGCGGAGTTTGTTCCAATGTATCCTCCACATTACATTCTACATCAGAATCACTTTGCTCTACACACTCCGTTTGCAGGTTTGTGAAGATGACATGAGATTATAAATTGTTTAAAAGATAATGAAGAACTCCTATAACACCCGTAACGATAGTGATTTAATGATTGTTTACCACAAGTGAAGTTCCTGTCAAATGTTTAAGTTCAAACTTGTACTCTTTACAAAAATAAAGTAATCAATTCTAAATCCACTGATATCAGTGGCGTTCTAAAATAGTAGTGTGACACGCTTACATGGCCTTATATTCCAGCACGCCTTGGTTGCCAGTAAATTCCGAGACAACAGTAGTCCAGCCCGGGACACGGGACGCCTGATGTCAATTCCGGGACTGTCCCGGCCATCCCGGGACGGTTGGCAACCCTATTTTACGATGAAGCGCACCTTCTGCTGTTAGGACATGGAAATGAAAGAGTTCAAACGGTGATTACAGAAGATTACGTGGTTGTGCCAGGAAAAATCTGCACATTACTTGAGATATTGAAAGAGGCAACCAGCAGGGGTTCAAGCATGACGAGGCGACCCCCCATATATCAAATCAGACGCTTGTTTTCCTGAGAGAAAAGTCAGCAATGACATCCAGTGGACACCTCAATTATCGGACTGAAACCTCTCAGATTTTGATATGTAGGGTGTTCGAAAGACAATTTGTATCAAGACAATCCTCAAACGACTGCAGAAATAAAATAGAAAAATACCCAAAGAAAAGTGATTGACAATGTTGCAAAATAAATGCAATTCTTTCTTCAATGCCGAGGAAACCATTTGGAACATATTCTAGAAACAACATAATTTTTGTGAAAAACGTCCTAGATTTTCCGACACCTTTGGGTACAAACATACGTAAACAGAAGTTCAAATGTAGACAAAATTAAATAATTCACTCAATTTTCGTAGAAGTAATTGATGGTTCCGTTTTTTGGGGACTACGCTGTATAATACTGTTTTTAATATAAATCAGTTAAATGTGCTGCTTAAGTCACTGTATTTGATAGTTTGATATTATAGTTTGGTATTATCTGGCGTACGTCAGTTCAATCGGATGCCCAACTCTCACATGTTGCTCTTAACAAAACCAGAATTAGAACATGGGTGTTGTAGGATACTTACACTACCGCTTGAAAGCACCATAGAACCCGATAGTAAAATGAAGCTATAATTCAATACAGTACAACGAAACGTTAAGTGCATGGTGAAAGAAGCATATGCCGTATGCGCTAGACTGGTATTATTATGAAACAACAATACAGATTTAAAAAAAATCATAATACCTATTCTACGTTAGGCGTGAAATTTCCAACACCGGGATCACAAACAAACTAATTTGAACCAAAACATAGGAGTAAATGACATAAAATATCACACTTTTTGTGAGTTTCCGTATTGATGTCAGTGCCCCCCAATCGCCCAGTTTGACAGCCAGCGCCCCCCACTCGCCTAAATCGCCATCAGCGCCTCCCAAGTTATAGCAAACGCCCACAAGAGGACGTTTTTGCCCACTTTGGGGACCGCTGATGTATATTCTCATCAGGTACCGTAATTCCTATCACTTAGACGGCGCACGATGTGCCAACAATTATTTTAACATTTCCCTGCTGACATTCAGGTACCTGATTTTTTATGCATTTATTTATTTTTATCCTGACATTTTGGGTTAGCAGACGACACGGTTTTGATTTTGTAGCCTAGCAACGAAAGTGACACCTAGCGGGCAGTTAATACAAATATAATTGTAAACATTGGAAACAAATTTTAAAATGTTATAGCACAGGCTTGCTTCTCCATAGTTCAATAATGTATTTAGATACTCCGTAGTAAAGAATGATATAAACTTAAAAAAAGGCCGGTATACGCCGATGAAACAATGAGAAAGTTTAGTAGTGCGCAGATCTGCAGATAGACCCACCTTTTTTATTCAAACTTTTCCGGCAAATTTGTTCACATTCAACTGGACATTGACTTGTTTTGTAGTTTTGTCAGTTATAGGCTTATAGCTACCGGTACCGGCAGTTATAAGTATGTTTTCAACAACAAAAATAAGTATAGTTTAAATAAAATCCGTCAGCTCATCCACCATTTTGTCTTCATACTCCTGTACTCAATCAATCAATCATTGTATTTCGGGTCTCTGACTAAAACGGAACAATACAAAAAAGTAAACAGACAACAAATACAGAGATACCTAAAAGAGAGCATAACTTAAAATAAAGTTAAAAAACGTACAAGTACGTGCCCACCCACCAAAAATAAAATAGGAATAATACGAGTAACGTTATACAAAAAATTTGGACACGATTCAAAATCGGGCAGTGCTTACAACTCAATTTAAAATGATAAAAGCCAAATAATTGCTTGAATCAGTGGATAATTTACATGGAGTAAAATAAGTGTTGCGCATGAAATAAGACAGCAAAATTCAGGTAGATAAAATTAAGTGTAATAGAATCCCAACGACCTCCTTCGTCTCTGATAGATGTTTCAAATGTTCGTATACGATTATGGTAGCTGAGAAATCACCAGGATTAGCCTTGCAGTACATATATATAAATAAAGCTGATCTCGAATTCTGTAAATTTTGGGTCTGAGATTCCTATATAGCATAGAAATATACAAGTCAAAATCTATGGGAGACATCGCTTGCTGTCAGAAATGAAAAAAATCACCTAAAACCTATCAAATGTGCAAGACAGATAAATAAATACATGCAGGGTTGAAAAACAGCATGAAGTTTTGAATAGTGGGAATAAAAGTGGGAATAGAAAGTGACAATAGCTTGAAATAGCTGTGAATACAAATACCAAACAATGCGTGCCAATGTTAGAAGAAAATACCTAGTGACTAGTAACACAAAAAATACACAAAAAAGCTATATACATTGGAACTATTTACCAAAACAATATCCAAACACTGTCAATATTGGCAGGCAACATGGAGGTGTAGAATCATTTATTAAAACAGTAAAAGCAATCTCAATTACACACACAAAGAAATATCATGGGCAGCAGTGAAACATTGATGTTACAGTAGAAAATTCAAATTATGCTGATGTCTTAGGCGGTACATAACCACTTATTGGCAGCAGAAGAGGAAAAAATAGATATTGCCAAAGCTCATAAAAAAATACAACATAGATAATTTTGCCATTAAAATAAGATGAACAATTCAAGGCATATTTATCAAAAGTAACACAATACAAACAACCATGTTAAACAGAAAGCACACTTGCAATTGGAAAATTTGTGGGTGTCTTTAAAATTTCCATTCCCTGCCAGCAATGCCCAGCATACTATACTATTCATAGTGAAACCTTTTTAGTCCTTAACTCTGTTATAAAGTGAACAGGACATCCTGAGATATGGCTGCATGGTAAGGTGCTGATTAATACTATTCATGAAGTGGCCAAATATAAGTTCAACAGAGTTGAAAAATCAAATTACAGAATTAAACTGGCTTGTGTAGTTATGAGTGGAATATCTGTGGCAAAAAGTCGTACATTTCTTCACAACTCTGTTGTATTCACTTTCCAGCTTTTCCACTTTCAGACTTGTCAGCTGACTTTTCCAACCCCAGACCCTCCAAATTGCAAAAATAGTTACCAGAATGTAACCAATTTGTGTTGTCCATAACACAGCGATATGTAAAATCCTTGTTGAACAATCAGTTTGATATTTTCAGTACTTAGAGACGGAAGAAGTCGTTAGAAGGATACTCCATTTATTTTTTCTCTAAAATCTACACGGCCTGATTATGATTTAATCAGGACGGGCATAAATAGCTTAATCAAACTACCGGCACTGGTAGTCGGTAATTTTGCCCTTCGGCATGAAAAAGTTTGCCAACCCCAACTCTAAACACCAGAGTTAGACTACTTTGTGTTCATACTGTCACCGCGTACCACTTTAACCTATTCTCTTTCCAACAATTAATTTGCTGGGTGGACTTAGACTCCTGCTGGCATTCAATATTACTCAGGCTTGAGATGTCAATATGTATTAGGAGTAACTTAAACAGCGAATGATCAAACTGTCATAAGAGTTGGGGATGTCAATTCAGCATTTCATTCTGTATTTGATAATAAATTGTCATTGTGTTTATCTATCATATTTCAGTACCGTATTCAACAGACTGGCATATCGCAACAAGATACGCTTTATAAAGCTCCATCTATAGACTATGTATTACAGACATCCCTTTAAATTTATGTATATGCATCCCCCAGGCCCAGAGTAAAGAAACCTGGAAACGCTGTTCTACAGTTCTAAACTATATCCAAGTTATGATCTAATGTCAGTATGTAGGATAGGATATGAATTACATATTTATCCCCAGAGAGAGAAAAGCCGGTAATATCGCCTATTCGTACTTCGTAGTCTATGGCAAACTATAGGGTAGTGATACTGAGAGGTCTGTTGAACATCCTATTGAATGTTTATTTTAAATTTGTGATAATATTTTTATGTAGTGTCTCTAATCATCTGTAATTTTTGAAAAGTTGAAACATGGATTCTACTTCGGATACTTTACAAAAGAAGTTGCAAGAAAGACGAAAAGCAATGAATATAACGATGCAAACAACTGATTCAACAGCACTCGATGTTACTACAATCAATAATGATGACAGTGATGGTGATGCTGATATTCCTACTATTGGAGATGAGGAGACAGCATCGACTAGTCGTTTGATTGAGAAACTAGAATCTCGTCATGATGCTACACGTAAAAGACTCCAAACTTCCGAAATGCTTCGTCCTCAATCTGATGTTCGACTTCCCACTTCAAGATTACAAGAATCACCCAGGTCTATCACACCAGCTATGTCACCTGGCCAGTCTCAGGAATTATCTCGGTAACTTACCTCCGTAAATTGTACTGAATAGGTATGACTTGACAATAATTTCAAATTATCATTGAAAGGCAAGAGCCCGACTATATTATTGCTTAGTTATATCTAATAATTAATTCAATGAATATGTTGGGTAATGCCAATATTGATAATTTTTCTAATTATTTTTTGCAGTCCCCAATCCGATTTGGAAAGCACATTCAACAGCACATTTGGCACACGATCTGCTGGAATGTCCTTGCGTGATAGATTGCAAGCCAAGCTTCAGGCGGCTAAACAAAAGCGAGGTATTTCGCATGAGTAACATAATGTTTATTTACTTTAGCATTAATATTTGGTTATTTGCATCCTAAATTTGCATCATTAACTAAAGCTCCTTTGAGTACACCAAAAAGTCAAATTAAAATTGTACATTTATCTAACAGTGAAAATAGTAATTTAAATTTTCGAATATTACATTATAATTTTTTTGTGACCAATAATAAACATGTAGTTTACCTTTTTAGGGCATAATATTAATGATAAAAACACTTGGGATGTTACCAATCACACAGGAAAAATGAAACAACAATTTTTTTTGGATAAAACGTTGACAAATATAATGTCTTGGTGATTTATTCACTATTGTATTGTCTTTTTTATCAATGAAAATATATTTCAGAGTTTTCTCAAATGGGCGAAGAGAGAAAAAGAACTCAAAGATTAAAAGAAAGGCTAAGAGACTCGAGCACCAGGTCAGTTGTTGAATTTATATATGAAATTGCAAAGACTTTTCATTTTCAAATATAAGTTATGGTTATAATTTACGCAACACGTATGGATATCTTGGAAATCTAATTTTCGCATGGATACCAAAGCTCAAATAAACAACGTTCGATTTGTCATATATGAATATGAAAAGATTTTAAATTTTTTTACAGATTTGATGTTGATCCATTGCGTACTCTCAGTCGACCTGATTTAGAAAAGGAGAGAGAATTGGAAACCAGAGTTTTGGCGAAATTGCAATGGAAGAAGGTTCTACAGAAAGCTAGGTATGTTACCAATGTTTTACCTTACTTTTAGTCATGATAATTCTGCTATCTCTTGGATATAAAATGTAAAGTGCTCAGTATCTCATCTTTTCTTCATGTTCAATTGTGAATCGATTATCTATTTTTTTTCAAGGTGTTCAGTCAAGGTCTCACCTTTTCTTCATGCTCAATTGTGAACCAATTATCTTTTTTTTTTCAAGGGAACAAATCGGTCAACCTAGCGATATTGATTGTTATGATTTTTTCACGAAACAATTTGAAGAAGTAACGGTGCAACCTGAAGTTGAATCTCCTGATGTGGCAACAACAGATGAACAAGCGGAGCAGGTTGCTGAAGAAGAAATAGAACAGGCTCCTGTAGTAGAAGATCAACCTGAAACTGCAGCAGGTTATTTTTTATTTCTTTGTTTCTATATTTATTTTCTACATGAATATTAACTAGAATTACAGTTGTTGCTCAGATGTTATTATCATTAATGCAGCAGTCGTCGGTAATGAAATAAGCTTCATTGAAAATTTCTCAAACGACCAGAAAAGCGATGACATATCAGATTTTTAGAAGATCTTCTGGAAAATCATTAATATTAAAATTTAATCAAGCAATGAAACATTTGAAATTATAACCCATGTACATTGGCTGAAATTAATTTAGTTTGGGTGATATTATAGTGTGTTTGTTGCCTTGTTTATTTAAAAGTTTCATGGCTTGCTATCAGCAGATTCCATTCATCAATTTTCCATTTCTTGATGTGATGACGTCAAAGTTATTCACAAGAAATGGTAAACTCACCAAACATGTGCGCAGCAACCCTAATGGAAGTTTCAATGAAACCCCAACCTCTATACCACTCTTAGATGTTACAAATCTGGAATTAAAATTTATGTCTTGAATTGCAAAGCTGAGACTTAACAGTGAATTCAAATTTATATTTACACATCAATACTTGGCAAATTTCGAAAATTCTGCTAAATTGGGTGGATTCATGCGTTACGTCGCACTAATTGAACTTATGGAAATTGGATCTAGCTGATATAAAATTTGTATTTTGAAATGTCATACAAAAATCTTGTTGTAAAAAAAATTATTAGTTTACACAAAAAAGTATGATTTTTATTTTTTAGGGGTATTTTTAGGATCGAGTTAGGCCCTGGCAATAAGTCTCAATTGGCTCCTTGAAACATACGATAGCACATAAAAATTTTATTCCTGCTTTTTCACTACATATAGACCGCCTCATACTTTTTTATCTCTATATATATATATATATATACATGTATGAAAAAATTGATCCATATTCTATCATTTGTCAGTGCATTTTTAATCGATTACAATTGCATTGTTAGAACATAATGAAGCATAATGCTAACTATCATGATTTTTACAGATGCACAAGATGAGCAACCCACAGAAGAAGTAGAGGAAACTGATGATGAAAAAAAGAAATTACTTTCAGAGATTATTCCTGAAGAATTAGATTGGAAACTTTTCAATATAATGTCAGCAGAATATATAAGTTACAGGTAAAAGACAAATATTAAAGTTGCGTTTACACAGGGATGTCCAAAATGCATATAATATTCAAGATTGTTTGTATTTGTTATAAGATTGTTTGTGATCTATCAATTTTTGTGTTTGCAATCTTTGCAAAGATGGTCAGAAAAAAATAGTGTTTCTTTAAGTTTTGGCGAGGTAAAAACTAGGAAACCATTTCAAAACACTGTTTATATTGCCATTCACACATTACTGTTTTCAATTTATTCTCGAATGAGATATTCTCTAATGAGCATCAAATAATTTATATTCTAAAGAAATAGGTATTCCGAATGTGTTTTGAATGATGATGATTCCATTATTGTCTTACTCTATAGCTGACATGGGCAAACTACTGCCTGTGGGCCAAATCCGGCCCGTTGGGTACTTTGATCTGGCCCGCCTGATGCGGCCACAACCGAACTGAAAACTGAATTTTGATGTTTTAGCCAAAAAGAGATCAAGGAATTCTTGATATTGCGATTAAATTTAGTTTTGGCATGGGGCTTTTCCACTTTTGTAACATCGTAAATATTGTTCATAAAATGTAACTTGACCCACCACTGCTCTATAATCTTAAATAAATAACCAGTGTCTGTTCTGAAGTTGTCATGGCTTATAGAAAATTTGTGCGTGGCATATTCAGTGTATCATAAAATATCAATATTGTCTTAAATATTTTGTTACAGAATTCGATTAGAAACAGAGCAACAGATAAGTTTTGTTCCAAGTATTCTGAACGCTCCTTCTGAGAAGAAAGTCCTAGATAATGCTGCACCTATGTATTTAGAAGAAGAAGGTTTTTATGTTGGTTTGATGCCAGAAGTTCAAATACGGAATCGAAACATTCTTGAAAATCGTATACTCAGTCAAGAAAAACAAGGTATATCCCCTTTTTCTATTTCTTTACGTTTTTTTTTCTCACTGTAAATCTACCACAGGGACTGGGATATGAAATTTTCTTTAAACAATACATCAGTCAATCTCCAAAACATTGAGTACATTCAGAATCAAATAATATAATCAAATTATAAATTGTTCATTTTATGAATATTTTCATCTTAAATCTTTTTCCTATGCTGGAAAGCCTGTTTTATTTATTAAGTGAAGTTAAAAGCTGTTTCTTGTTTCAACAAAATAAATAGGCAATATTTTAACTTTGACAGAAGAACATTGAAGCATTGTTTAAAAAATATGAAAAAGATGGTCGTTTTTTACAGGGGCGAATGAGTTGAAAAAATTCTATAGTTAAGGGGTAGAAAGAAAATTATCATGGAAGTGTTATATTATTTATTGAATCTTTTTTCAGACGATAAGGCTTGGTTTGGATTAGATGGTCGTGTTAAAATATTACCAAGTCCTGTTCAAATTCATCCCAACAAACCGTGGGTATCTGGACTTGATGACATTGATCCATCAATAGAAACTATCTACGTTAAAGCTTATCAAACTTCAGTTGATGAAAAATATTTGCAAGTAAGTGAGTCAGTCACTTCGTATGAATTAGCGGAACTTCTTTTATCTTAAAAGATGTACTAGAATATATGTTACAGCTATGTAAATTGAAAATTTCTGTTCTGATTCGATTTGATGTTCTGCAAAGTTGAACTGAGATGTGTACATTGATTGTATAGGAAAAAAGTAAACATTATTCGGAACTCCCGTGGTGTATGTACCAGGTTAGGGAAATTTATAATTTTATTTTGATTCTTCTTATTTTAATTCCATCGCCTTCCAATGAAAATATCCCATAGACTTTTGTTCCTTCACACAACTTGGTGTAATAGGCGAACAAAATTAGTTACCTCTATATTGGTACGCATACTTTTGGAGTGCCCATTAGTCTATATATAAATTCTGTAACTTATGCAAGTATGTTATCGTATTGTCTTTCTGAAAGACGCTGTGCTTATTCCTCAATTATGCTTTTGCGCGGTGGATCCGGATGCATAATATATCGTAATACTGTAGCAAGAATGAAGATAACTATTTCAAGTTGCGCAAATATGTTTTTGTGTAGCAAGGCTCTTGAATCACTCAGAATTATTCAAGTGTAATGCAAATTATTTTAGGGTTCACAAGAACATGAGCTACAGGTTGATCTCGGCACAGCTGTTTTTCATCACCATCCTCTCATGAGTAGAGAGCATGTACTTGCATCGAGTATAAGTGAAATGTATGATGCGTACATTCGTCATCGACATAAAAACTATGCGGTTTTTTATTATGAGAAATTGAGATCGTTACGGCTCGCACTGAAAACAATGAAAAGAAATGCTTCAGCTGCTGATGGGGAGGGTATGTATCTCATTGATTTACGAAATTAACTAGATATTTGGTAGGAAGTATTCACAATATGTCAAATAACATAAATTTTGGTGTGATATAAGGCATTTACAGTATGCAAGGTTCGAATTATATCACATGCATATGATATGGAACTAAAGATGATGGTTGTTTTAGAGATTAAGGATGAAGAGTGCTAACTAATTCTTCATACATTTGAATGATCATACCATCTGTGCAGTATGCACACGCTCGTCGGCTTTTATGATCATGATTCCTGAGCATTCCCACCTAATTTTTTTATGATTCTTATCAGATATCGCTATTCTTGGGGGTCAAGAACTGCGGATCCAAGATTACCTGACTGAAATTCGTCGTACCTGTCGACAACGCGATCTTGCTGAAGCATATGAACGAGACCTGATGCGAAAAATAGTTGCTGAATGGAAGGAAATTAAGGCACTGAGAACAGCACAGGGATTTAATAATTCCGGCATTAAATTAACTGTAAAAAAGCAAGAGGTAACTTTTAATTCTGCTTTATATTGCAACAAGATTTAATAACCTTATTTTGTGCCATTCCTGTATATTTCAGGATAATTTACTTCAACTCAAGTGATACGGAAATGTATGATTGTGGATCTTATTCTTGTAGAGGTTGTTTTAGTTGTAAAGCTTGTTCCTCAAGTCTCACACCAACCACCAACCATACTTTAAATACTTTTCATTTGATGTTTTATCTTTGCTTTGTCTACATAAGTGTAGTTTATGTTACCATGGAAAAGGCTCGGCTAGGCGGTGTGGCCCATCGTGCTGAGCGTTATGAATACGCTTGTCACTGCACCTCTGATTATCCTGCGTGGGTTCGCAGGTTCGAATCCCATGCGGGGATAGTTATGTGCGAGAGGATTGCTGGACTCCTCGCCGCTGTAGGGTGGTTCACCCCTGGCCAGTTACGGTTCCTCCACTATTAAGTCCATGCTTTCGAAAATCAAATAATTGGCTTACTAATCCCATACCGGTACCCGACATTGACTGGTAACCGGACGAGGGGCTGTGGTTCGCCATATGATTAAGCCGTGTTATCGGCTTTCCTCTCCCTCGGGATAAATATGTAAATCCTATCCTATCCTAAAGAGCAAAAATAATATTTGTCTTATTCAAAATGGGCTTGTCTTATTTAAAATGGCTCAAGTTTCTGTTAACAAAAATATGTGGATAGAACAATATTTTAGCAGTTTACTGCTGTGCTCCCTATTGTTATTTATGTGACCAATAATTGCAAGAAATCTGATAAATACCATGATAATTCAATTTTCCAGGTTAATCAAGAGTCAGATAGACAGGCATGGATGCAAGAAATTGATGTACAAATTCAAGAATGCCATGAGGAATATAACTACACAGTTCAGTATCCTTATAGAAAGCTACTGACTGAATATCAAAGTAGTTTACAAGTAAGTGTTTCTTATGCATACTTATATAAATGTATATTCTATTATATATTAAAAATGAAATTATTGAATATTGGCAGTTCTATTGTGTGTTCATATCCGGTCGCTAGCGACATACGAACGATTTTGAGATAAAACGATTAACAATTCAATAAACAATATTTGCTTTGGCACACTAGGCAAATTTTGTGAATTAGATAAAACATTTTTTGTCATTTGTTAAGTAGCAATTTAGTTCTTGATGTAGTGAATCTATCTTCTTCTACATTTGTGGATGTTTTTGAATGATTGTTAGTCGATAGGTTGGTGTTAGCAAAGTGAATATCCCCTCTGCCCATAGGCTTCAGTCCCTTTACACAACTTGATGTGAAGTAGATGAACAAAATTAGTTACCTCCATAAATCTACATATATTGTGGGTAGAATGCTTTTGTATATATGTATAAGGATGAAATTACTTTTCCAGGATTGGAAAAAGACTAGAATAAAATTGAAAAGACAACAAAAAAGTGAATCTTCTGCAGATCTTGGAGTAAGTTCAACCTTAAAAATTGATCTCTGATTACAATTTTTTGTGTTTTTATTTGAGTTTTGTTGAAATATTACGGTACTTATGTTCTACACAAAAGCCTATATATATATAACTCATTTAGATGACAGAAGAAGAGTCTCTTATTGTTGGACCAAATCCTAAACCACTGAAGCCACTTCCACCTGCTAAATTTGATGAAAATGCAGTTCGTGAACAACTTATTAATCAAGCTTTACAGCATCGAAGAAACCCAGGTATTTTTTGTTACTGTATGATTCGTAAAAATATTTTTAGTTCTTTTTTAGTTAACATCTTTATTGTACTGTACAAGTATAGAAAAGAAAATATCAAATATTTGATAATCTTGATAGGTTTTTTATTGGAAATGTCTTATTGGCGCTCCAGAAGTGTGTGAACCAATATGAATGTAACTAATTTTGTTTGCTTACTTTACATCAAGTTGTGTAAAGAGACTAAAACCTATGGGCAGGGGGTATATTCACTTGGCTAACAGAGACAATCCCCGAACTCGTAAGAGAACTAAAATAAGGAAAATCAGATTAAAATTATGGCCTAACCCTAACCTGATAGACACACTACAAGAGTACCAACTTAATTTGTCCAATGCGGATCATCTATCTGTTTGTGTAACCTCATTTTCTCCAAATATTTTTAGGTGAACCTAAGATATCATTAGAAGTCACACACACTGGACCAATTACACCAAATGTACAACTTCCAGCGGGAGAGGCTACCAGGAGGATTGCTGTTCAAAACTCTAGATTGGTTGCTCGAGTAAAATTCAATGGCAGAGATGTTTGTACTTCAGAGGAGAAATCACTTACGTCTGATTTTCGAGTTCATTTTGGACAGATTTTCAAAATTTTAATATCACAATGGCCAGATTCTGTGAGGATTCAAATTTATGAATTAGGTCGATTGAGTGACACAATTCTAGATGAAATAAACTTGGCAATTCCAGATGGGTCGGTAAATACGGCTAACGTTCAACTATTTCCTGTTGATTTTTCTAACGATAAGGTTGTTATATACCGTAATCATGAAGGTGTTGGTAGCAGTACACCATTCACTCTTCGTTCTGATTCAAATGTGCCAGTATCACTTAAAACATGTGGACAGCTCTATGTTAGCATAGCTTGGAGTTTGGATGCCGATGGAAGAGTTTTGGCCCCAAAACTTATGAATCCACGAGGAAATGATGCTTTTGATGCTGCAGGAAGACCTCACCACGCATCTCAGATAGGAGCACAACAAAGTGATGGACTTGCTCAATATAACTTGCAAGATCCGGATTTAATGGCATTGTGGTCACAAGAAGGAAAGCTTGATCCAAATGATCCTGCCAATTTAGGAATGGTGACCTACACAAGTGCAAAAGAAGGTAATGTAAGATAGAGCAAAAAGATACTTATGCAGCACTTTACTTATTTTTAAAATTGTTAATTTATTGGTACTCCCGAAGTATGTGAACCAAGATGGCGGACACCGTAACATAGGATGTTTACCAGGTTAGGGTTAGGCCATAATTTCAGGTACAAATACTACGGGAGTCACTTGGCTAGTCCCTGAACTCGTAATAGAACTAAAATAAGGAAAACTGGAATAAAAGCATGGCCTAACCCTAACCAGGTACACATACTTTGTTCCGGTGTCTGCCATCTTGGTCCACATACTTCGGGAGTACTAATTTAACTAGAGTTGAATTCCATCAATTTTTTAAAAAGTGTAGTAGAAGTAATTTTTTTTTATTTTTGATCAAAAGACATTGGAATTTTATTGGACTGCATTCATTTCATCGAACAATTTAAAATTTCACCCAGGTTTTTGATGGTTTAAAAAAAATGGCCTGAAATGTAGAAATTTTGGTATAATCGACATATTTTGTGATGATTCCTGACACAAAGTGTTTGATTGTGTGGTACAGTTATTTCATATGGAATTGACGCACTGGATTTAAGTTAATAAAGTTTGAATGTTTGCAGTGCTGTAGAACATTTCTTCACCCATTTAACGATTTATTACCAGAATTTTAAGAGATGATAGATGCCGCTATTCCGAAGTGGAAAAATGTCCTGTAGTGCCACATACAATAAGCACATTATTGGCATGGATTTACAGTGTTACATTAAGTAACTTGAGCAACACATAGAGGGGTAGTTCAGCTACTTCACCAGAAAATATTATGGGCTTCTATTGTACCATCGCAAAAATTTACAGCACAACACAACGTACTGTTAGTGCAGGGTGGATTTGCCGTCCTGTAGTGTCACGCTATATTTTACTATATTTTTTTATCTACTAAGTAAGGTTGGGTGTAACTTTTGTGCAATTTTTTACATATTCAATAAAGCAACTGATTGGACAATGAAACAAAACATGTAGCTGAAAATGTGAAAATATATTGAATTTAACAACATGCAAAATTTCTGGAATTGTCCTGTAGTGTCACTTGGAATAGCCCTTATGAGAATAATGCAACTTTAATAGGCAAATGTTGTCTTTGTAATGTAAAAAAAAATTTTAGTATGGCACTTAATTACCGTACATAAGAATCGCTAGCTGTGTTTATGTTATATGATTTTATATTTTGAAACCAGGATTCACTTCAGCAATGGATTATTTTCGCCTCGATCAACTTCAACAGCAGTTTAATTTTGTTACTGATGAAGAAATGGGTCAGGCTCGTAGGTTAAGATTACTGGAGTATAGAGCAACAGGAATATCAGAATTTCGTAACTTGAGTATGGTGCCTGCTAATGAACATGAAATTCTGGATTCTGCTTTTACTGCATATGAACGACACAAACGGGAAAAAGATGCCTTAGGTGAAATGGGTGAACGAAAAGTTGCAGCTGGATCATTAAGTGCACATAGGTTAGTACATTAGTTTTAAAGTTGTCAAATTTTGATGTTTTTTGGGAAAAAATACAAAAATATTAGTTTGTATTTTGTATAGTTTTTCTAATATTGTTTGTAGTATTGTAATGCTTATTTATAGAGGTATTATAAACCATTCCAACTGTGCGAATAAAGATCAGAAAAATAGATATCGAAAAGGTTGGAAACCACTGTATGATGATATCAATTAAAGATGTGTGGAATTTTTGTCTTTGAATTGTGTCTGCATATCAATTAGGCTTGTGTTGCTTTGATAATGATTAGGAACTTTGGGTTGACAACTTCAAGTTCTCATAACATCTTTGCTTACTATTTTATCTGTGCTTCAGACTTGAAGTACTGAGATTTCGACAGAAAGTCAGAGATTCTGTGATGAGAAGATTTTATACTGCAAGACATTATCATACCCTCCAGGTGAAATTTTTCTTTTTCTAAGATATGTGATGTAGCATAAAAAATATATATCGTAGTATATTAGTTTAAATGAATCTACATCTATTGTCACCAAGTCTTCAACTGACAGATATGGCATGACATCAAATTACCTAATATGTTTGACTTACTTTGTTGAGTGAATATGTGAGGTGATGTTTTGGAGTGGTGTGCTAGAGTCATTGACTTGACGTGAATCTTCCATCTTTTGGTATTTGGTAATTATCAGCCTGATTTTGTTTTCATGGGTTATGGCTATGGAAATTTCAAGTAAGATTATACACTTGAAAATCTCATACTAAGTCCTTTTTCCAAAACATGACTTATATATGTCAGTTTAAACATGAGGTTCATTATGTAACTTCTTTATTGTTCAGGACATGGTTCATGAAGACCAAGTACCAGACATAGGCACCCTTGGTTTGAAAATTATCAAAATAGCTGAACCACGGCGTCCCTTGAAGCCAGTCCGCAGTGAAAGAAAGAAAGCAACAACTCAAAATCTCACTGAAGGCTCTGTTTCTGTTTTAATAACTGTTGTTCGGGCATACAATTTACCTATCCGAGATAAAACTCCCGTTCCTGGCCTTGAAGGTAGTTTTCCTTATCTAGTTTTTGACGCCAGCGATTTTTTTTTTAATATATTTTTTGTAGATTGTTTTGCAAAAGTTGTCTCAAACAGGTGGTTAAAGTTAATTATCTCGATGCATCTCAAATACCTTCAGCTTTTAGTATAAATGGGATTTGTGTGGGATGTTTGCTGGATTCCTCTCTGTTGTAGGGTGGTTCAGGTAACCACTGGCCGGTTACGCCTTCCCCCATCCTAAAGTCCATGCATTTGAAACAAATAACTGGCCAACCATTTCCATGCCTGACAAAAAACGGTGATCTAACGATATGCCATGGATTGTCGTATGATTAAGCTGCCTTATTGGCTTTTCTCACTTCCCAGGGATAAATGTGACATTTCTATTCTATCCATACTCTCATCAACAAATAAAATTTTACTTCAAAGTTGTGTCTGTTCTGATTAGGAATCTAGTCTCACCCAATTTTTGCCTTATATTGCTTTATTTTTTGTTAAGGATCTTTATCAAGAGCAGTTTTAGGCACTACTAATCTTCATCAACAGTCTCAAGATGAGCGTGAACCTTTTAAATTATCACCATTTGTCTCTGTATCTTTTCAAAATAATGTGAAAGCAACAAACATTGCTGAGGGGCCAAATCCTAGTTGGAATGAAGAAATTGAGGTATTTATTTACACGTTTATAAAATCATTTTCTGTGAAAATCACTCAGCAGAAGTGGGAGTTTTCATACTAATTTGAATGTATGGTCAATTTTAGTTTTGTTTGAAATAATTTGCCTTCTGTTTATATTTGCTTTTCATGTCACTTTATAGCTGCCGTTCTCAGCAACCAACAACGATTATACTCCAGAAAATTTGCAGACCATTGATGACACATTATTTATTAATATATTTGACAGGTAAATTAGATAAAATATATTATTGACAGTAATCAGTGCCCAAAAGTGTTTACTGCTTACCAATAGAATGGAATTTGCATCATAATGTGATTAACTTAAGGTTGATGCCCCTTGTTATCATGTTTTTTTCTCTATTTCAACATAAAATTTACATGCATCCAGCAGCAGGTCAGTAGTTGGTTTTCACACAGTTTGTAATAATTTCATCATAGAAGCTTTTCATGTACAAAGTTTTGAGTAAACTAATGAAAATATCATATTGGTCATCTATAACATGGATAGTTTTTCATTTTCAATTATTGAATTGAATAAGCCAGAAGCATAGATTTTTCAAAGGCTACTATTACTAATACATTCAGAGATTTCATATTTAAATGTGGAATATTGTATATATATTCTAAATTGTATCATGTTCAACAAAGAAATCTACACAAATTATTGTAAATTCATAAAAAATGAATTTAGTAATTTTCAACTCGGCCTTTAAAATGATCTTCTCTTTTGTTAGTTATTCTACTGTATAGGCCAACAGCAATAAGTAGCATATGTATTTTAATAATCGTGTAATCGTCATATAACAGATGAATCTTGTTATAAATTGGGTTTTATATAGGCCTACTTTAAGTTGGCCCTGTACAGGAATACACTGTATAGCTTAATTTTATCGTCCTAATATGTAATATTTCTGAGATAAATTATTGCCAATTACTTTGATCATACTAGCTATTTACCTTCTCATATATCAACATCATGCTTTTGATACCAAATAATTTTCAGAGTTGTGCGGGATGCAAATGTAGACACAAGAGATCGTGATGATGTTGGAGAATCTTCAGGAGTGGCTACTGGAGTTGTTTCACATAGAGTCCAGAATCATTGGCTCGGCTCACTCAAAATTCCATTCACAACAATTTACCAACAGGGAAAAATTGAGGGCACATTTAAGTTGAATGTTCCACAAGTTATGCTAGGGTATACTCCCGATAGAGCGGTGAGTTGTTTTTTAGTAGGCTATATCTGTAACATGCCATTTTTTTTTTTTAAAGAATGGACACTCTGTTGAAAATAAAGAAAAACACATCTCTGAGCAACCATAAAAAAGTCAAATTTTACTGAAACTTCACAAAAATCATTGATTATGTAGCCAGTAAATTTTTTTTAATAACATTCAGTTTAAAAGTCACTAAACAAAAAAAAATTTTTTTATATAGTCGTTTTTTTCTGGTATCAAGGACCAATATATTAACCAGTTTAACAAACAAAACATTTCAGGAAAGTAAAGCGGACGCAGGCGCACATCAGGTTATTTTAGTAAATTTCTGTATGTCCTCTTTCATAATCAGCAAACTATAATTTATCAACTATTAATTTTGTCTTTCTTTTCTCTTATGGACTGTATATGCATGTCTTTGTAATAATTTTTGTCTGCACTATTTTCTTCAAACTCTGATCATTTTTGTAGTATTAAATCCTTGTTTTTCTTAACTTTGAACAAACCTATCTTTTTGCCTTCCTGCCCTTGGGATGCTTGAAAAATTGAATTTCTTTCTTTAAATTCAATCAAATTCCATACGCATTATGCAATAAACAGAATGAGTGGTTGGAAAACGAGGCAATTGGTCACTAGAGTTATTAATTAAAATAACCACGGTAGTCAGCTACGTCTTACCCCCAACGGGGTTGAAATCGAAATAACCATATCCAAAGTTAATAATAAGTAGAACCACTTACTGCACATAAGGTTGAAACGAAGTAAATCTTTGCTTATGTTATAAACAAAGTACTGCAAGTATAGCCATGACATTCAAATATTTGTCCTAATATGTGTGCATGAGATTACCAACTTGAAAAACACAAAAGCAGACATTTATTCCGTACTGTAGCTTATTTAAAAAATTATATTAGATGCCAGAGCATTTGTAAATTGTAAAATCGTGCAAAAACCTTGTAAAAACGAGCAAAGTTCGTGAATGCCTATTATTGCATGCTGAAGTAAGTACTTCGTTTGAAAATGGTTTCAGGTGTACAGTTAGTCAGGTAGCATGCTTTAATAATCTATATTATATTTTCATGACTCCCTTGATTAATTTCAAATGTAATTGCATTCTGATTGAATCTTCAGGCTTCAAATATCAAATTTGTTTTAATTTCTGTGAAATTTGTTGGCTGTATCTATATTTAGTGTTGAAATCAGGCATTCTGTACATATTGTAATACTTTCTAGAATGGAATTCTTAATGATTCGCATGTTGTATATACAGGGCTGCCTTTGATATGAAATGAAACAATAAGATGACAAAAAACGAAATGTGACTGAAAAAATGTATTCATGCCAATGCGACCTGTGTCTAATCATACTTTGCACTAGAAACCATTTGCACCAAAAATAAGGACACATGTCAAAATAAGGACGATTCTTAAAAATAAGGGCAAAAATATTTTCTAAAACAAAAAAACCTTCAAAATAAGGACAAATCTTGAAAATAAGGACGTTATGGCAGCCCTGTGTATATAACAATTTGGTGGGTAATTTTCAGGGTACTTTAAATCATCATGAATATATATTTACTTAAAATTGTTATTGAGTACTAGATTCCACAGATTTATCATCTTTTATACTCTGTCAGTACGAATTCACTGCACAAGACAAAATTTATTGAGACTCCTTGAAATAATGTTTATATTCTTCTCACTAAAGAATACGAATATAAAAATGTTAATTTTTTTAGAATTCATCTGCAAATGATCCATATGCACAAATGGAATCACAATTTCTACAACCAACAGATGGTTCATACATTGGCATATTTGTTACCCTTGAACCCCAACTTGGCAGACCTGAACCTGTACCACAGAAATTTGAAACTCAAGAGGATGAGCGTTTGATTTCAGAGTCATTGAAATTTGAAGAGGAATGCAAAAAGAAATTTCCAAAACGAAGAATAAAAACAACGGTCATTGATATTAAAGGAGAATCTGTCTTTATCACAAGGTATTTACATGAAGGACATTATTATTACCGGTAAATGACAGTCTTATAATATGTAGCAGTATTCCATTCAAAGATTTTGTTTGGCAGACATTAATTCAGAAATAAGTTGCTATTAGCTTAAATCAGGGGTGTGCAACCTGCGACCCACAAGGAAAATTGTGTTGCCCGCGGAGGAGTGTCAATTTTTGAATGAATGGCGGCCCGCGAAACGTGTTTTTTAAATCAGCTCATTCTGGTAAGTGTGAGTAATCCCAAATCCCCTTGCGTTGCAAAGACTATCGCACTCTTTATGTTTGGATATGATATAACGGTAAATAATATTTTTATTTCAGATATGTGAAGCCGATTGCACCTCCACCTGAATTATTAGAGGGTACGAGTCAAAACTCTCTTGTTTGTGCTGAAAAATTAGCTCGATATGTCTCTCTCATTCCATTTGTATCAGACAATGTCATATATGCTGGAAAGTGTGATTTGTGGAGTACTTGCGATCAGGTGAATACTCATGTGTACTGAATATGACAGGCTAATTGTGAATTGTTTTTTTTTGTCTTCGGTCTATCTATAATATTGAAATATGAGTCACCTTTTGTTTATAAAAGTGTATTGCATTGCAATGTATTTTGCTTTTATGAATTCTTTTTTGACCATTGCTAGTCCTTGTCATTCAGCTTTTCTTCGAAAATGGGTATTTCCATTTCTGAGGAAATGATTGGCTTGGTGATTACCTTTGTATATACTTATATAACTTTGTTGAAGCAACAGAACTGAAACTAAAAAAAGTAGTTTTATCAATATATTAAAATACAATAATTTTACTCATCAACAGTTTCTTAACATGTTATGTGGAGATGAAGAGGAACATGCAATTCTATTGCTTAATTTTTTTCTACATATTGGAAAGCAAGCATATCTTGTTCTTGGTCGGGCTATTCCTGAAGGCGAAACTGCATATGTATTGACTCTAGAACAAAGCCAGGTATTTAATCGGTACTCCTGTAGTGTGTGTACTAGGATAGGGTTAGGCCATAATTTTATTCAGATTTTCCCTATTTTTGTTCTGTTACGAGTTCGGTGACTGTCTGTGTTAGCCAATGAATATACCATACCCCCTGTCTATAGCTTTCAGTCTCTTTACACAACTTGATGTAAATTGGGCGAACAAAATTAGTTACCTCCATATTGATAAACACACTTCTGGAGCGCCATTTGATCCTCTTTTTGAGGTATAAGATGCCTCTCTAATTGATTTTGTTCTATTGCTGAACTCAAGTATGTGGAAAACTAACATTTGGAAAATTATTTACAGGAATATTTCTTATGGAATGCAAGTAATGGTCACCATTATAAAGCGACTGATTTTCTATGTCCATTACAAAATGTATTTGCTCTTGTCAATCAGGTTAGTATAATATTTTAAGCTGAAGCAATGGAATGTCAGAATGTCATTTTTTTAACCGGTCGTAGAGAATTTATTAAATGTTTGTATGATTCGGATAAAGTACAGTTGATCATGTTCACTCGATTATGTATTGGAGTTCAATCATTTGTCTGGAGGCATTGCATGTATAAAATTGGCATGTGAGCAAGGTTTAAACAGCTAAACAGTGAAAGTTCAGTAAAAGCTAAAGCAGAGCAGTTTATTGTTGTTACGGTAAATTAGTTTTTCAAAATATGACAACCAAATTTAGTAATCATAAATTTTCTAAACATTATGTCTACCTTGGAAAAAGTTTTTGTGAGATTATTCCATTAAAACATACTTATTGAGTATTAGTAAACTTACACTTTAATGTTTCAGGATAATATTTGGTTCAACATGCAAGTTCATGACATTCCTGCTAGAGTTAATTTCAATACCAATCAAGGATGGAAACCTTTATTCAAATCGATCTCAGCAACACAGGGATTAACCTCAGTTCAGCCAGAGGTCATTGTGTATCCTGAAACAGAGTTATCTTATGTACAAAATTTGGAAGAAATGATTGAAAGGACTCTAAAAGAAGCCATGATGGATTGGAGACCTCGTCATGTCACTCGTTGGAATCGATCATGCTCTACAGCTCTACATCAAATTTTACGAAGTCTGGAAATAGACAGGTGTTTGTTCAGTTTATGACATTCCAATTTTTCTTATGTGAACATAATGGAAAACTATATGAATATTATTAGTTTTAGTTAACACTGGTTGTCCTTGCAAAATGCATATTGACTCAAGATTGGGACTTAGTTTTAGAATTATGATATAGATATATTAAAGAGTGAAGTTTCTTCTGCAGCTTTCACTCATTCTGACTGCTGTGAAATCTAATTTCTTTTTATCAGGTGGAAGCTTGGTGGTGCTGATGATAGGCAAACACAGTCTAGAACCACCCTTCTTCAAGATGATCATGCCGAGCGTTTGACAAGGCTTATTGGTGATGCACGTTTTGTTGGATTTCCTATGGACATGCCATTCACTGACATAGATGCTGTTGTTAAAGCTGTCCGCAGTACTGAAGTTCACAAAATTCAGGACAACGATATAGAATTTGCCCTTGGTGTTTATATCCATCCTTATCCATCCTCTGTGCTATGTGTGTGGGTTTATGTAGCTGCTATTAACGCATCCAGGTCATTTTGAATATATTGTCATTTTGAATTCCACTTTGTTGTACAGACAAGTGAGACATTGGAGAAATAATAATTTCTGCATGTCCAATTTGCCCAGTTAATATTCTATAGATATAATCTTACATAGTGTAGCATCCTGACCGATATCTAAAGAAGTGTTTTATTCGGCTTACTCCTATTGCTGCTACAGGTTTTAAATTATTTTATGTAATTCCGTCTACGACTCGGTTTGCTAGTTCAAATCGATACAATATAAATAATATTACTATATACACTTTTCCTGTTTTTTTTTTCATATTAGTCAATTTTTTATATTTTCTATCAAGTATTTTTAAGTTTCTAGCATGAAGATTTCCGATTAATTATTTAGTAATAAATATATAATATATTTTAATGAACATGAGTCATGTGATTTTAGCCTCTATTCATCGCAATTTGAAACAACTCCTTCTTGTACCATTTAATGCAATAATTCCTGAATCCGAAGTTCTTACTTAGACGAACAACGATAGTGAGTGGCATTAGTCAAAAGTGTGACAGAAGCGGTTGAAGAGGGCTGCAGTATTAGAGCCGCAACGACAACATTTGATGTGGATCGAATGACACTCAAGCGATACAACGATAACCAAAAATACGACCCGCTTGGTACAAGCGGATACAGGAATTGCAAGGTCAAGAATATGATATTCAGTTGAAATAGAAGCCTACCTACACCCTACAGATCACAAAAATCCAGTTTGCTCGACAGAAGACAATGTTGAAAACGCGTCAGATTTACAGAGTGATCTCGATACTCCCACGAATCAAAAAGATAACAGAATTCAATCAGCAGCTGGCGTTAAGAGCAATACTGGCTTAACTAGAGCCGAGCCGACTAGCAACGCAGAGACTTCTTATGTGTCTCCAGGTGATATACTACCTTTACCAAAAGCAGGGCCAAGGAAGGTGAAAGCTTCTAATAGGAAAAAGCTAGCACGAAAATTTTGACAGTTAGAGATGAAATAGCAGCGAAATCCGTGGCTGGGCTAGAAAAAAATAGAGCAAAGAAAAACTACCGTGGGACCAAAAAAATGCTCTTTGCAAACAAGGTAACAGTTAGTGTGAGAGTAGCACCATCCAGATGTAGATCCTCTTCGAGCGAAATGGAATCTGATGAGAATGTATTGTGCGATGATACTGATTGATCAAAATATTAATTATCGAAGGCGATTTTGTCATAGTCAAGATTAGTGGAAAATCTAGAATTGTTCACTACGTCGCAAGAGTTGATGCTTTCGAAGGAGTGTTTCTCCGCCGGGTTTTAAGCGTAAATGACCGAACTATCTTTATTCTGAATGCCGAAGATGAAGCACTTAGATCGAAGAAAGACATGCAAGAAAATTAGTGAATTACCATCATTGGAACTTCACGTCGCACCCAGTTCACGTTCACGTGTGACCTCGATGAGTAGAATCTTTGATTTTCACATACTTTGTCATACGCTATTCCAGCCCATAGCCTAAATAAACGTTTCTTCTCGATTTCTAGATGCTACCAAGGTGTAATAAGAATGGTTTAGGGGTATATTGAGTTTTCATTTTGTTTGACTGACAAAAATAAATAAGGGATAGGATTTACATATTTATCCCGGGGGAGAGGAAAGCCGATAAGACGGCTTATCCATATGGCGAACCACGGCCTCTCGTCCGGTTACCATTCCAAGTCGGGTATGGGATTAGCTATATTGTTTGTTTTCGGAAGCATATAGATGTATTCTTCTGTTTAGGATTAGCTAATTTAAATCTGCCCAGTTGCTTTGCAGTTCAGATACTGAAGTATTCGCATCTCACATTTGTGAATGATACTGTCCCGATGTGCCGTTCTGCATGTAGCGGCTCAACTCTCATTGATGGTATGCACAACTCTCCTCAACATGCGGGAGACCTGTGACATCACTTTTTAAAAATGACATAACTCAGAAACAGGGTCGCTTGGATTAAAAGAGACGTACCTAACTGTAATATAGCAGAGGTAATGACTCTTGGATGATATGAGCTTCCTCAACTTGCTACGAACGATTGGTGAGATATGAATATTTATATGAAAAAAATGAATCATCTCTCCCGCATTATGACACGACACTTGAAATGCTCTTTTCGGTCGTGAATCGAATACTTTACCTAACAGAAAAATTATTATACGTCGAAAAAGTAGGCTTTTTTCACAAGCAGACTGACAATTGCGACGACTGTTACATGGAAATTCGCGGATTCCGACCCTCCCCGTTTTTTTGGTTAATTATGACTGCGCCCTTTAGATCTTGAACAAAACATCTAGATCTAGCTATAAAACACCTGAAGTGACAGATCCGGTGATCGCATATTTATATGTTCCACATTGAACACATAACAAAGAGAAGACTAAAATGTAATTATTTATCGATCTCGATCGGTAAGTATGTTGTTAGATTTTTGTCTGTTAGATACCGACGATATATATAAAAGCGAGGTTGAATCTGCAGCAAATTTTGCATGTGCATTCATCATATCTCATAAAATTTTCGTCTGGACCGATTTTAAAAATTTACTCGTCGATTTGAAATGCCCAGCCCTATTCGCAATTATAAAAATAGCAAGATTCATCATCAACATAGTATTTTTCTTTGTCTGTATCATACTTTGCTTTCACGCATAAACTTTTTGAGATTTTTATGCGATTCCACCCACTTCACATTTAGTCAACTTTGGCTATTCAATCAGGGTCGAAGCCTAGTACGCCATTATGTAGGAATCTTCTCTGTGTGCTTTCTCCCTTAAGGATCAGGATTACCTTTACTTCGTACAAAATCCAACCCATGTCCTACTGCAAACTACTTGTCTCATTCAACATATATACAAGAACTGTCATTGCAATAAAATATCCGCAGGAGATTTTACAACGATTTACACCAATTATTTAGGCGATTGAAGGCATTTTTCTTTCAGGCGCCAAATGCATTTATTTCCCTGTGCTTTGTATAAATCATAATTCAGTCCGCCTTTCCGTACTGCATACAACTTGGTCTGTTCTGCAAGGTGAGACATCAAATTATCATCAAAAACAGCTTTAAACAGTGGATTGGGAAAGGGCAACTTCTAAAAGTGCGTGTAACATACAACCAGGGGAGTGTCTAGGTGGGGCCCCTTATGTGTAATTTAATTATAAAAACAATAACATAAGTGTAATATCCATTAAAAATAATAATCACAACCAACAGTAAATAAAACAACTTTTACGAACATTTTTAGATTTTTCAACTTTTATATATAGCCGATATATTTATCGGCCGTTTACTGCCGCTATGATATATATGTCGGCAAACACACAACATCGGGTCGATATAACGGTTGAGGTCTAATCCTGAATGAGTGTGACAATAAAGATTCATGCTTCCAGTCTCAACGTGAATCAAAATACCAAAGTATACAAGTCCCAACTGTAGTTTGCAATTTTACAGGTACCCAGTAGTCTACCTCAGAGTGGTTCAAGGTTGCTAGGTTGAAGTTTACTTACTTTTAATTTAATGAACAACGAGAGTTTACCGTTCTAATCAAACCATTATTATGTTGCATGGGTGGCGTTTTTTCAAAGATGATATATGAAGCCTTCAGTTATTTAAAAATTAATTCCCTAAAATTAACGTTGTATTTTCCGCATCTCGCGTTTGATGTCACTTCAAACAAGAGAGCTATGCTCAAATATATGGACACGTAGCGCCACCCAATGGCAATAATTTTGATGACGTCATAGCGAAAAAAAAAGTAATAGCCTTCTGGAGAAAAATTTTATCTTCAACCACTGAAAATTTCAAAGCAATTGGTCCAGTATTCGAAGAGAAAAGCGACTTTTTAAAAACGTGTCAAAGAACAAGAACAACAACAAGGATAATAACAAGAACAAGAACAACAACAACATAATATTGAAACGATCGTTATGTCCACTACGTGTCCAATTATATTCTTTCGTGGCAGATATTACTTGAAATCAAACCAGACACTGTGTGATAAGCAAGGAAATACGTTTCCGCCGTGTTTTCCTTATGTCATTTTTCTTGTGACAATCATTTTATTACGAATTGTTATATTTGATTAATTTAAAAACTTGCAGCGTGAGCAAGCTTAGTGTCATCGTCAAATAACCACCAAGTCCGTCTAAATTGCTATTTCGGGACCTTGCTGAAAAAAAAAACTGGATTGCGCGGCGTTAAGTCGACTCTGCGTTTCGTCACTACTGTCACATGGCCCACGCTTGAAAACAGAGGATTGTTTTAATAAAATAAAGGCACGAAGCGTTAGAAAAAAGGGCTTGAATCTGGGGATTCCAACCCCAGTTGAAAATATCTAAGAAATCTCAAAAACGCTCTGCTATTAGATACAAATATACGCTAAAATTGTTCTGTGGGCCGCACGGAATGTATCAGCATAACAGGGTTTGGACCACCCTGGTCTACCTTATTCAAAAACTCCCGACTTCGCTGACCACTAGATCGTTAAAATGCGATCGTGGAACCGCCACACAGTGCAAATAGTTCATTGGTCCAAATGTTGAAGAGAAAAGCATTTTTTTTAAAACAAAAATGCAGCAACAAGTAGAATACTAGAAAGAAAAAACAACAACAATGTTACAACACGACTCATAGGTCCATTTCGTGTCCGATAAATAAGTTTCATTGTTTATTTTCGATGAAGAAGGATAATATGATACTTGAAGAGGGAAAATAAGCGAACATTTTGAAGTTTGAGTCGTATGGGGAACAGATTCGGATAATTTATTTCTATCATGCAAGAATCAACACAAAAATTAAAGCACGAAAAATTGACGAACGTGTATAATGACAATCGTAATATTTAAAATAAACACCGATAAACTGTATAAAATTATGGTTAATCCGGCGCTGCCCATAATAATAAGAACAGCCGCCCTAGGCAGCACCTTATAGGGCCAGGGGTGAGTTTGTTGATTAGTTTGATGATTTATTCAATAAAACAAACATTCCACTCTTACTTGACCTTTAATTGATTCATTTTCGTGTATACCAACATCTATAATTTGTGTATCTTTTGTATTATTTTTGAAGTTGGTATAAGGGGCATCATTATCAGAAACTCATCCCTGGCAGCAGAAAAGTTTGTCACGCCCCTGCATGTAGACGCAATCCTTCCTCTCCTGCGCTTCCAAATTCCAGCATGTATATTTATCTAATGCCTTCAATACCCGTCCCGGTGAATGCAAGATACAAGACCCATTTCCTGATTTTCGATGAATTACTCAAATATTGTACGAAATTGAAAAATAGATGAATAATTATTTATTTTAGTTATTTATTTATTTTATTATTTTCGTTATAATTTGTTTTTAGTTTATCGCGATTTTCTAATTTAAAACATCTCTGTGGTTGTGTATGTGTGAGTGCGTAATGTTTCATGACATTGTTGTTATGCATTGTCTCTGGTGTGTGTGAATTATTAACTTTTAAGGTCACGAATCCTAGTTAAAATTTGCGTCGTCGCAAATCCTTGTGAAAATTTGCGTAAAATTTACCAGAACGAAATTTTTCCAAGTTATAATGTTAGGTGAGTGAACACGTATCACTTCTTTTTGACAAAACCTCTCATCTTATATACAAAGGTTTTGTTTGCTCTACTGATTTCATAATCATTTTCCATTTATTTGTTTTTATCAATTACTTTATCGCCTATTATGCTGATAATGGAGTCAAAATAAACGTGTAGGTGTAGTTCCGGTTTTACACACTATCACAAAAATCAAGACTCCTCATACCGCGCATTTGTTTACATTGCCAGTGAGTTGCTTTGGAGATATTGTAAGCCAAACTTAGTGCTCTGGGTTTTAATTAAACAGCTAAAGTTGCACAAGTCACGACTAGCTGTCGTGGAATTGATAGGATTTATTTTTAGTTATGAGGGCAATCGGAATTGGTAATTCATAAATAAAACATAACAGGACATAGGCCTGTAGGCCATTAATGTAGCCACATACGAGGTGCGGCTAAAAAGAAACGGGACTGACGTCACAGATTGCGCAACACGATTAACCATCGGTAATCAACACTTTTGCAGTGTGGCGTAATATGTGTTCTTTGTTTAACAGCTGTTTTGACACAATATCGCAATTATTTTTGCTTTTTAGGATCCATAAGTGAATGTGATAAATTTCTTGTTGAAAAAAAAATGCTGTGCGAGGTCTGATTGAGTTTTTTCGGCGATAGGAGGTTCAATTGCAGAATGACGATTGAGCAAAGAATTAACATTAAATTTTGTGTCAAACTGGGAAAAATGCATGTCAACTCGGCATGCATTCAATCGTTGAGCTTTCTGCTCCTCAGTCAACTCAAGAGCCTTTGGCATCATTTTGGCACACACCTTTCGCATTCCCAAAGTGTCAACCAAAATGGTGCGGACCGTTTCTTTGTCAATCCCAATTTCGTTGGCAATGACGCGAATTGTTAAGCGACGGTCACTGCGAACCAACTGCCAAACCTTTTCGATGTTGATATCAGTAGTGGAAGTGCAAGGCCTCCCTGACCTCGGATCATCCTCCCTGCCTTCCACAAATCGCTTGTGCCATTCAAAAACTCTTGTTCTGGACATGGAAGAATCTCCATAAACATCACGCAACATCTGCAAAGTCTCAGTCGCCATTTTTCCAAGTTTGACACAAAATTTAATGTTAATTCTTTGCTTAGTCGTCATTCTTTAATTGAACCCCCTATCACCAAAAAACTCCATCAGACCTCGCACAGCATTTTTTTTTCAACAAGAAATTTATCACATTCACTTATGAATCCTGAAAAGCAAAAATAATTGCGATATTGTGTCAAAACAGCTGTTAAACAAAGAACACATATTACGCCACACTGCAAAAGTGTTGATCACCGATGGTTAATCGTGTTGCGCAATCTGTGACGTCAGTCTCGTTTCTTTTTAGCCGCACCTCGTAAATGGCGATTTTCTCTGGGATTTGGCCATGTCAGCATTTTGGTAGACTATCCATTAACTCTCTCATTCAGTCATTGCAGTATTACTCAGAATAAGTAAAATTATAACACATTATTCATTTGTTGGTGGTGCCGTGAGTTAACCATGAATATAGACTCAGTGGGTAAAATAAGGCCACCAAGATCTGGTGAAGGTCAAGTGAGTTTGCTCATCACAGATAACAAACGTGTTCATGGCAAACAAGGAGGAGTATCACACAGGTAATAGGTGCTGGAATATAATTGAAGGAAATGAATTTTGGTCATAATGAAGTGTTGCTATTTTAAAATTATTAAAACTGAGGAAATGAAAATGAAACAAATAGTCTAGCCTATTTGTTTGAAAATTGTATCACCACCAAAGTCTACTTATTTTCTCTTATTGCTGTTTAGCTACATATTAATAATTCGAAATTTCTTGTATTTTTTATACTTTTCAAATTAAAATTCATAATGAATTTCCCGCCCAATTATCTTATTTATTTTTCTATTATAAAGCTTCCATCTTCTTTACCATCCTGACTCTTCAAATCAAGATGTTTTTTCCAAGGCAGTTCAACCTTTACTTGATTTATTCATTGCTGGATTCAACACCTGCATTATTCTTTACGGAGAAAGTGGTAAAGTCTTTATTGCATGTATGAAATTGATCATTTTTCTTGTGTCAACCGACATCTTTATACGAATGTCTAAATATTTTCAGGTTCAGGAAAATCATACACAATGGCCGGTGAACAAAACTCTCAGCCAGGAATTGTTCCTCATGCAATTAATTACATTATGTCAGAACTACAAAACAAATCTATGGGACTGCGAGGTATTTAAAATTTGCAAAGACAGGTCATATCTGACATGGGCAAACTAGGGCCCGCGGGCCTAATCCGGCCCGTTGGGTGATTCAATCCGGCCCGCCTGAAGCTGCCACAACCAAACTAAAACCAAATTTTGAAGTTTGAGCTAAAACATAACTCAAGGAATTTGTTGGGATTGCGATTAAATTTAGGTTTGGCACGAGGCTTATTTGCTTTTGTAATACTGTATATTATATACTGTATATTGTTCATGAAATTTAACTTTTTACATCACACTTACATGGCCCTCCAGTCTAGGTGGGCCCACCACTGGGTCATATATTTGAAATAGCTTAAATAATGTAAACACAAACATCAACTTTTTGCCAGGAAATTTTTTTTACTTACCTATGTCATGAAATGAACTATTAGAAATTTAGAAATGGGCAAAGATGTACCAAAAACGGGTATCCCCTTATTGAAACTCATACTTGACTCAATAAGAATGTAGCAAAACTAGGTGTGATTAAATGTCTAATTATCTCCATATTTGGTCACGATTGGTCTCCGAACAAGCACAAAAGGGTTCTACAACATCTTCTTGTTGCCTTTTTATCAGATTAATTACGGAAGTATATGCTATATCATGGATAAATTGAATGAATATATTATCTTTCGTCTCATAAATAGAGGTGTATTAGGAAGCTTTTTATTTATGAAATTTAGATAATGGTTTTATAAACTGACCTCAAATATAATTTTAAATTGGAATTATTCAAAAATGCTGATCCAATAATTGTATTTCACCATTTTGATATTATTATCAATTTTTAACTCTAGATTCTGTGGAGAATCCTCAGTTCTCAGGTAGAGGAGATAGTGATGTATTCCGCCTTTTGATGTATCAATATGAAATATACAATGAAGTCATCACTGATTTGATGGCAACTAGAGGAGCAATTTCAGGCAAGAACATTTTGGTTTCCTTTTCGATATAATAGTTAATCGACTAATACTTTATGTTGAAAGATTCATGGATTTGTGAATGGTTCTCGATCAAAAATTCTGGGAAACAATGATCTTTATATATTTCACTTGACATTTATATCATCTGATTACATTTCAGGTCGTGGACAGCATGCTATGGAATTACAACATTCAGCCGAAGAGGGGACTTACATTAAAAATCTTGAATATGAACGATGCAGAACACCGGCCGAAGGCTTATCGGGTAAAAAAAATGATCAAAATAAATTAAATTTTTAATTTGTTTAAAATAATTTTACTTATAAACTGTTTTGTTAACTTTGCAGCATTTTGGCAGTCCTGGCTTTCTCGAAATACCAATGTTGTTGATTTTGGACCCGTGAAAAATTTTAGCACTGTTGTATTTCAGTTGGATTTGACAATGGTAATTACTATTTTGCAATTCATGAAATGATTGGGGAGTGTGAATGAGAAATTTTGCAGAACTCCTTATATGTTTTGCAGAACTTCTTATCACAGAAGTATTATAATTATGTAACAGCATTTAAAATATGACCTGCAGTAATTATCACTATGTTATTTCGGTACTCCTGTAGTATGAGAACCAAGATGACGTACACTGGGACGTAGTATGTGTACCAGGTTAGGGTTAGGTCATAATTTTATTCCAATTTTTCTTAGTGTAGTTCTATTATGAGTTCAGGGACTAGCCAAGTGAGTCCCGTAGTATTTGTACCTGAAATTATGGCCTAATCCTAACCTGGTACACAAACTACGTTCAGGTGTCTGTCATCTTAGTTCACATACTACGGGAGTACCGTTATTTCTATGAAAAAATCAAAAAATCAAAGTTAAAATCTTGTCATTTATACTATGATTAAGTTGTGTTAGTTTTTCAATAATATATCTTTAAAAGTCTGCAATTTTATTATTCACAGATGACAAATGACAACCCGCTGCCCAATAGATCAAAATTCACGGTGATTCGAATGCCAGGGATGGAAAAATTATCAGAGGATTTATCACGTACAAGATTGCGGGAGGGGCCAACTTTATCAAAATCAGTCATAGCATTCAATCAGTTGTCAGCTGATCTTGCTCGACAGCAGGAACCTGAGCGTGTCATTAATTATGGGTGAATATCCTGTTTGTATATAGTTTTGTGGTCCTTGTTCATGATTTTCTATTTGTGGAATATAGTCAAATAATTAGAATTCATAATAATAATATCGTCTAGTTCAATATACATATTCTTTTGTTGGGCAGTAAAATCTGATCATTTAAACTTGTAAAGTGTTATTGAAATATGTATTAATAAGGTAATATGTATGTGCTTCACTGCCCACATTCATGAATTTTTATATCTATTTATCTTTACTTGTTTTGTCTAGTGAATCAAAACTTACAAGTTTACTTGAGGATACACTTGGAGGAAATTGTAAAACTAGAGTAATTTGTTGCCTTCCTCCAACTAATTCAAATCCAGATGTGATGAGTGCTATTCTAACCGGTTGTGGTTTACTAACCGAAGTGAAAAATTATCCGATATTGAATGATAGCCTTGCTCAGGTTTGTACTTATGAATTCAAATATATCATATTGCTGGTGATTATAAGCGTCTTTATTTTTATGGTTCTCTAACGTCTTGGTTTCAATGAATCATTGTTCAGCAAAATCTGCAAGCAAGAGTGAGCAAGGTTTTTGGATCCAAAAATTTTGCCCACCTATTTTGGTAGGCCATGTGAGGTGTGACGTAAAAAAGTTTCATTTTATAAACAATATTTACAGTGTTACAAAATCAAACGTGGAAAACAATAAACCTTGTGAGTGATGTGACGAAACCCAATTTTATCGCAATTTCAAAAAATTCCTTGAGTTATTTTTAGCTAAAACATCAAAATTTGGTTTTAGTTTGGTTGTCGCAGTATCAGACAGGCCATATTGAATTACCCAATGGGCCGGACTTTGCCCCCGGGCCATTGGTTGCCCATGTCAGCATCGGTGCATTTTTGTATATAATGTATGTGTCATTAATATTCAAGCAAATGTTTACAGAATCTGATAACCCAGTACAGAACGAGAATTGATGCATCTTTACAACATGGTGGGTTTGACCTAGGAGGTGCAAGTGGAGGAGGAGGTGGAATCTTATCAAGAACTGAATTACAGGATCAGTTGCTGAAGATAACAACTGATAATGTATGTTTTTGTCTCAACCTTCACTATAATTCGTATGCAACTTGATTTTCTTTGACTTACAAGGGTTTTTCTACCAGTGAAGAAACTGTTTGTTCTATAAATATCACGGCTCGTTGAGATTACATCCAATTCATTATGAAAAGAAATGACATTTTAAAGAAATCATGTTTTTTAAAATATTGCTGATCGTTAAACAGTCCCATTTTAGAATCATATTTGAATTTGGGTTTTGATAAGGTTCGGAGTATTTCATTATCATTCATAATTTTGAGATCCAGCTAGCAGACAGCGCTTTTAAAAAGCCTTTTCAAAAACTAACAACACTTGTGTTTTGTTTCTGGGCCAAATGATCAAAACTTGATTGAACATTCTGAAATGTGAGCATTTTTAGTTTTATAGGCAAAAATTACTGTCCTTGAAGAGTTATTTAATTTTTTATTTATCGTACATATTATGGAATCATTTTTTTTAGTTACCTTGTTATTTCAATTATTCATATGTTCAGACTCAATTAAGAGAACGAAATGATCGATTATTTCAACGTCTTGAACAAGTACAAGAAAAATTAACTGATCTTGCTAAGTCAAAATCTGAATTATCTACCAAACTCGTCGCAAGTGAGGAAGACAAACTGAAGGTAAAATATAATTAATAATATATTGATTTTTTGGTACCTCCGTATTATGTGTACCAGGTTAGGGTTAGGCCATAAATTTAATTCGTTTTTTTTTATTTTAGTTTAATTACAAGTTTGGGGAATGTTTGTGTCAGCCAAGTGAATAACCCCATGCCCATAGGTTTCATTTGGCGTAATTGCAAGTATCTGATTACACTGATCAAAATCTTGATAAAATTTTTTATTTTCTCATTATTCACTGATTCTAATTATTATTCGGTGCTGAATTATTCAATTTCTACAATATTGGTATTGAAATTGTTTACTTTTCTGTCTTCCCCAAGTGTATTCTTTCCAATTATCATCTTTGGTATGCTTTTAATATTTAGCCTTGGTCCATATATACATAGGAGCGAAAGAAATTATTAATTTTTTTTAAGAATACCTTACACTACTTTTTGTCAGGTTTCTAAGGGATTAGTAGAACTGCAGCTTGAAAACAACAGATTATCTGAAGAATATGAAGCTGAGAATTTTGATTTGAAGAATAAGGTACAATATTATACAATCAATTTGTTTTTACATGGACTTGTATTACTTTCTGAATTTGAAGTACAAATAACGGTTTGTGAAAGCAAACTGTTGTGTTATAATATTATGATTCATAAAATTGGTGAAAAGTTGTCAGTAATCAAGCTATGCAAAAACATATTTGAGAATAATTAAATCACACGAAGTAAATCAATATAGATGAGTTGAATATAATTTTCAGATAAATAATTATACAATTTCTATCCCATTTTTATTGGACCTCATAATTACAGATCTTATCATTGGAAAATCAGCTCGTTGAGTTTGAACTACAAAGAAATAAATTTAGTCATGATCATGATGTCACTGCAAAACATACAAGACATTTGGAAGAAAGTCGAAAACAAATTGCAGATGAGTTTGTTCAGCTGAAAACAAAAACTCTCGAATTGCAGAAAGATCTTGAAAGACAGGTTGGTGTTCTTTTAGGCAAAGTTTTGTAGTATATCGCAACTTTTATTGTAAGAAAAAGTATCCTGGATATTGAACGTCATAGAAATAATATATTGTCTAAGAGTATTTTATACATATTTAATTTTTTGAAAGTTGGTTATTTCGAAAGGACTAGACGAGGCATTGAATATCAATAACATAGTAAAGTTCAATTAGTCAGGGCTTAATTTTGTACTAAGCTCTCATTGAAAGATTAAAAAATAAACACAATGCCTTTTAACAAACAATAAAAATAAACCTTGTAACCGATCTGAAATATCAGTAATAAAACAAAAAATATCTCATTTTATATAGCAATAGTTTAAATTTTGTGCAATCTAAACATCTATATGTTTTTTTGAAAGGTGAAACGCAATGATGAAATGAGAAATGAACTTGCCAAACTGATTGACACTGAAGCAGCATTACTGGATTTACGACATAATGTAGATAAACAGAGAGAAGTTGAGGATGCAGCTGTGAAAGAGTTGGAACGTGCAAAGAATGTACTTCGATCTGTCGATATTGATCCTGGGGCATTGTCAGCCAGAAAGCAAGGTCATGCAAACGGCGTTGCTGCTGAAGTAAGAGAAATGAGAGATTTGAGACATGATTGGAGAGTTAAACGTAATAACGACTCACTGGGAAATCCAAGATCACCAAATTCAGATGTAAGTTTTGATCAATTATCATTGAATTTTTGTTCAGACATTCATAGAAGGTAATGACCACTAAGTGCTGAGATTTCGAGAGAGGTGACCAATAATGCGGCAGTTAGCGCATCATGCTAAGCGTTGGGAATACGCGTACCTCTGATTACCCTGCATGGTTTCGCAGTTTTAAATCCTATGGGGGATCATTTGGTGCTAGTGGATTGCTGAACTCCTCACTTCCTCACTACCATAGGGTGGTTCATGTAACCGAGGGCCGGTTACATCCACCTCGAGCATCATATGCTGTGATAGATAGTCTACTTGTTGTTCTCGTTCAGTGTCATATCAAGAATTTACACATTTTTCACCACATATTTGCAATTTTAAATTTTGTTTGTGGAATGACTATAAATTGAGTTATGATGTAGTAATTTTTACTCAGCTTAGTGGATTACTTAACTTACTTACTTTTATGATTAGGTTTTTTAAATCGATAATTTTTCAAAATTAAAATATAATTGCAAACAACAAATGACAATTCATTAAGTCAGACTCTGCATTTAGTTTCGATTATGAAAATATGATAGAGAAAATGCTAGGATTGGTTTTATAGAATATACTTACGTAATCTAATATTTATAAGCTCAATATTTTTCATTTTATTTAGCTTCTTGGAAATTACAAATTACTATCTATGGATGATGATGTTGTCAAAAATATGAAGTCAGCATATGATGAACAAACAAACAGACTTGAAAAAAGTCTCCTGCAATTGAGATCTCAATTAACTGCTGCGTATGAGACTGTTCGGGCTGCCAATAAAAAATGTGCAGAGCAATCTGCTGTAAGTCTTTTATACTGTACTAACATTCACTTGTTTTCTCTAATAGAATTATAGTTTTGTTGATTTCCATGTGAATAAGTACAGTAAATTTGCTAATGTTATGCAAAAAAACATTATTTTAAACAAGTTGCAAGTAATATTAGTTTTATTAATTAGAATTGCCCAATGCCCAACATAGTGTGGAGGTTCATACTATGTAATGTTTTGTTAAATTTATTTTGAATGGAATTCCAATATACAATATTGTACATGCCCATTGGTATTTATGTGGGCAGAGAAAGTAATACACTATGAAGCTTTTGAAAAAACTGTTAGTCAAAGTCAAAATATAGGTGTAGCATGTGGTAAAATGATAATCAAGGTTAATCAAGTTGTTGATTAGGAATTGAACAATGAAATCCTTAATATCTCTCACACTGTTTCAGCTTCAAATTGTAATTCTATGAGACAAATGAATGCAAATCAATATAAATAGATGAATCAAATATTTAAAGACCTTTCTGAGCAGACAGTTGGTTTTATCGATTTGGAAGGCGATTCGTCGAATGTGGGCAAACTATACCCTTTGTTATTTTTCAGTTTAAGGGCTGGTTTCGACAAACAATTGAAAAAGGTCCAATTGAAAAAGGTCACGGTCCGATGGTTCAAACAAGATTCTATTTATTTAACTCTTTATGACTCATAGCAAAGCCTTTCCATAACATACATCAGGGCTACTCAACTGTTTTTACAGAAGATCCGCATACAAAACTTCAAAATGATTTTGATCCGGTCTCTCCAGAAATTATATCTCGGCATCTTTAATCGCGCACTTCCTTGACTGGCTAATGATTACTATCTAATCTTGATTATTATTATCTTGTTTATTATGGTGTTACAGTTCTTCACATATATATTCAAAACTATAAAAGTCATTTTATAAAAGTGGGGCTAATGATCCAAAATAAAGAAATAGGTGCGATTCGAATCAAATACTCGAAACGTCCGGATTCAGACTGCGGTCCGCCAGTTGAGTAGCCCTGACATACATTATTAGCCATCTTTGGGCGAATATAACGACAGTGTATAACAGTATAATATATTCGATTGATCAGGCCGTCACTGTTGCCCAAGATGGATATAAAAAGGCAAAAGATGAAAATATTGAACTCCAACAAAAGATTAAAGAATCAAATCAAGAATATAGGAAGAGAATGTGGAAATATGTTCAAGATATTGCGGTATTGTATATTTTATAGATCTCTAAACCTTACAAACAAAACTATTTTCTCCATTCCGAATGACACGGGTGAAATGTAATCCTGCGTTAATTTAATATTAATTTATCATTAATTTCTCTTTTTTTTCTTCTTGAAATACAGGAGTTTATGAGTGATGATAAGCCTGATAATGACTCAAGAAGGAAGGATACAATGAAGAAATATATTGATGGAATGATGAAGGTTATTTAGACATTTTATTTTAAAAGAATAAACTGAAAAATTTAATATTAAAGCAATGTTGATCAGGCAAAATATTAATTGTTCTCTTATTGGAAACTCTTGTTTGACTTTATATCCTCCTGATAAATGCACATATCAAACATTTCATTTCTCATATAATTCAAGTTTGTTCAAAGTTTTGTGATCGAAGTTTAATTTCCCTCTCAATGCATAATTTCAAGTATCAGGCAACATAGCACCAAATGATTATTCATGATTTCTTAATTGACATTAGTCATTTGGTCTGTTCAGGATATGAAATCTGCTTTTCGTTCAAGAGAAGAACAGTTGAGTAATACTGCACGAAATAACAGAAAATTGGCAAAAAATATGCTGCAACGACATGAACGATTATTAATTTCATACAGGTAATACAAGCTAAGATTACTCACAGTTACCTTCAATATCAATCACCTTGTTAAATGATATTTCTATATTAGGAAAGTAATACAAGAACAATTTTCTGTAAGAAATTCTTCATCTCAAAAATTTTGTAAAAATTGACACTTGCAGGATTTATTACAATATGGGGTTTCATGCGACTTGATTTAAAAAAAAACTGATTGGATGACTTCCCAAACATAAAAAGTTTGTTAGTTAGTTTTCATATCTGACGAGGTGAAATTTGTTTTGTAAAAAATGTATCGTACTTTATTTCACTATGAGGTATATTGATAAAGTAACGCAGCACCAAGTATATTTAAACAAATATCCATTTGTAGCTGTTCTTCATCCCATACCGATTACTCAATCAGATTCAGAAGTAACTCATTATTCAATTATGATATTTTTCAACAAATTGAGGTAATAATAAAAAGTATTTATTGAAAAGGAAAGTTTATTTTCAACTACAGAGCAATTCGTGCACAGCTTGAATCAATTCAAATTGCAACAACAAAACAAGGAGAAGAGACAGATGCAAGATCTTCTCAAATATTCCCAGTTGTTCAGTATCCAATTGATTTGGGACCAGATGATTCAGATTTATCAGTAGATGAAAAAGAACTTCAAACGGCGTTGTCAGTTGAACTGAATAATCTTAGACAAGCAATGAAACAAACAAAAAATGAATTGAAAATCACAAAAAATGAGTTGAATGCATTACAACAAAAAGACAAACTTCGGTATGTTCAAATGATTTTTTTTTGCGAGATTAATTACATATCCTTCTTCTATGCTTTCGTGCCAGTGGATTCGTATGCATATAATGCAAGGATGCTGTAAAGATGCAAGAGTAAAGATAACTATCCTAAGTGGTTCAAGAGTCCCATTTTAATGAAAATAAATTTGTCCAAAGTAAATTTAAGAAGATTGTTTTCTAATTTATGTATAATCTTCCAGTTATCATTATTATTGGAATCTGCAATCAATGTTGAGCTCATTACCATGAAATGTAATAACAAAGCTGCATAGTATATCATATATATCACATTCTATTGCAAATTTTTGTTCTGCTCAGCGAATTATCACATCTCCTCCGTGAATTAAAATGTCATTCAATTCCAGGTCACCACACACATTAGGAAAGCAATATCCAAAGATTCCAAATATTTCTGATGCTTACAAAAATGTGCAGGAATACACAAAAATATCTCAGGTTCGTTTTCCATTTAATTTTAGTAATTTTGTTCGGCAGTAGCTGGGTAAGAATTCTATGTGCTTATCACATAAGAGTGGATCTTCAAAAGATTATTAAATTTTGAAATAAAAATTAAATGCTAGCATATATGTTCATAAACACAATCTCATACTTTTCTAAATATTTTTCCACATGAGCTCGATATTATTGAGAAAATACTGATCATTTTAAAATGGCATTGCTGCTAAATCGGATATTCCATTCTTCCCATTGCTTATATAGAAATATATTGATGCACCACATTTCTGTTAGTATTTTTATTCATTTTAATAAGTAGGTCTATGTCTTTTCAGGCTGAACTAGAAAAAGAAAGAGCCGAACTTTTGACGAGGGCTACCGTTGCTGAGCAGCAAATAGCTGAACAGCAGGAATACATCAGCTCGCATTTGGCAAGGTATACATCATAGAGAAACACCTGTTTTTTTTGTATGATACAATGCTAGCTTCAATCTTTAAATACCAGTTTTCTAATATTATTCATCACAGAAACGTGATATTCAGGCTCAAACTATGTTCTACGGCACGTGTGAAAATGAATGTTAAGTCTACTAAGTTGACTTGCATAATCACACTGTTAGATACCCAACACAGTATCAGCAATTTTGAACTATTGTTCATGATAATATGTGACAGGATTCATATAACCACTAGTCAGTTGATTGAGCTTTTCCATGGTATAGGGTCGAATCTTAGTTTTAACCGTCCTCCATCCTGAGCTGTATTAATTTCTGTTCCTAACAAACGAGGAAGGACAATGTTTCATTTACAACACAACAACGCAAACGACATTAATGTGATGAATGCGGTTGCCTTTCACTGCACAATTTATTATTTCTCGGAAAAATTTATGACAAACAAACTCATGGGTCCATCTCTACAGCAAGTTTCCGCCTGTATTTTGTCATCATGTTAGTAAGAGCTGAAAATGCTGCCTCACACATGTAGGTCGGTGCAAAAGGCAGTAAAAGTTTAATTTCCTTTTCTGACAGCAATAGATATTCGTCCGCAACGCTCAACCAAAAAGATGCAATGGCTTTTTGATTGAAATCAATCTTAAAGATTGATCAGACTTTCTTCATATCGTTGCGAAACCCCCTGTGCAGTCATCATGGTCATCATTTGTTACCAAAATACTCAAGGGTCATTAAATTATTGTTTGTTTTATTTTTAGATATAAACAAGAAATTCTGCGTTTAAGAAAAATCTTGTCAGATAAAGGGATCAATGTTGGTGGTCGTATCAGTCCTGATCCCCTTTATAGCCAAAGATTCGGGGGTAGGACTTTGGATCCGTATCATCCACATAAAATTTGATTTATAAATACGTTCTACTAGAGGACTGTAGAACCGGTATTATCATTATGCTTACTTGAAAATAGGTTGGAATTAGATATAGACTGAACATGCAGAGAAGAAATTGGAAATTATATCATATCGGTGGCAAAAACAATTCTGAAATAAAATTTTGCTGGATAGGTGATGCCAGCTCATCCCAATCTCTTTTAAATAACCAAGTCAATTATTTGACACGTCGTGCTTATCCTTCAATGCTACTCACTATTTCGTTATCTTGAGGTCAAGTATATGACATTATTAATACAATATTGGTCTCTAATTTGCAATATTTTGCAAACAGGATACAATGGCCGTCCTTTCTGTTGCCCATAATTCAGAGTTCTTATGTATTTTTATGCAATAATCATTAATTTACCTAGTACACATGTACAATTTACCTATTTCTTCAAAAATGCAGTATCCCATGTTAAAGTAGCAAAACTAACCAAATGTGTCTTCATTTATTCTATTTTTGTAGAATTTATTTTTAGTAGAAAAATGCAATAATGTAAAATCGTAATTTTTTTATTAATAAATATATTTCGTAGGAGATATATCACTTCCCGAAACTTTTAGCTTTAGCAAAGCTGTGAGGCTTTCCTATATGCACAGATGAGGTATTGAGATGGTAATTATCAACTGCCAGTTCTTAAAATTTATTCGCCTTTCATTTAAATGACCTTAAATGTGATATTATACATTCCTTAATTGGCAGGAAACAGATATTGAATGGGTTTGTGCTTGGTTGAAGGATGCCTCTAACACAAAGATGTTTTTTCATGGTACATTATAAGATCAACTTCTCAAAAAATATCACCCTGAGCCGCTGAAAATTTTATGAGTGTGTATAATTTGAAGTGTTGAAACAGTGCTGTAACACACGCAGCGATCATTTTGATTAAACCCCACAGATGAGGCTTGTGCACACTTCAATATTACTTCTTTTGATAATTTTGGGCGGTAAATATCTACTCTGCGCGATGAGTCTACTAAACAATTTCACTGCCCATAATTCAAAATCGAATATTTATGATGTGTATGCATATGGCATTGACAATGGCTGTATATGGACATTCACCAAATAGCTGTAAATTTTTTTATCACCTCTGCATGTATATTTTTAGCACTATTTGATTAACACATTACCAACTTCACTCGAGACAGCTAAAAGCAGTAATTGAGGGGGGGGGGATTAGGGCGTAATCATGAATCGAATTTGTGCGATGAACAGCAAGCTATGACACAAATACATGACTCCCCTTGGCAGTAGACCCTAAACTTTTTTAAGCGAGACCAAACTTGAGATTTATGAATACTCGCGATCTAATCTCCAACATGGCAAAGATGTATTTTTAATCTTAGTACTCTTTGACTCAAATACAGACTATGATTTGTTAAAAACAGTCCATTGACTCATCGTGATTGATGAAACTGAAATTTCCCCTATTAAATCTACTACAATACACAGGTCTATTTTACGCAGCGTAAAAACAAAGCATCAGTTTCAAGCAAGTTTCGTACAAGCAAGGATAAAGTTGCAATGAAGCGAGAATGATCACGTTGTGATGGTGATCATGATATTATTATAGGTCTATCGCCACACAAGGACACCCTTATCTAATTTTTCAATTTTAAAAATTATTAATAAAAGATATTCAATATGGGCTCACCTTGTAGCCTAGTTTAGCCTACATTAGAAATACGCTTGCCACCGCACCTCTGATTACCCTGAGTGGGTTCGAAGGAATGTCGGACTCTTCGCCACTGTAGAGTGGTTCACATTGTCGATTACCACTTACGATTGTTCAGGCATCTTAAAACAACTAACTGGCTAAATAATCGGATACTTGAAATGGGCTGGTAAAAGGACAAGAGGCTGTGATTCTCCATATAATTAGTTTGGCTTTTCAAACCCTTTGTATAAATATGGAAATCCTATCTTATATCCAAACCTAATGTGGCCAATGCCAAAATTAATGATCTGATGTTGTTCAAATCAAATACCCGAAAAGTACGAATTGGACCACAGTTCACCAGTTGAGTGGCCCTGCTGTATAGAACAACAAATTTGGTAATAGCATATCAAATATTTCTAAAAAAAATTCTGGTCTTTGTTCAAAATTTTTCCATCAGGTACTAATACATTGTGACACTTTCTATACCAGGGATGGCGAACCACTGACCCGCGGGTCACAAAGTGACCCACGTCGTTTTATTCGTGACCCACCAAGGCACGAATGAAATGAAAAAATGAATTTATATTTCCGGGCCGGTATGATAATTTTCAAAACCCCTAATCTTGGACGCATGTCTGCACCGCTGTGTACCGATATTCAGCTATTGGCTCTGACATCGTTTATGATATAACAATGCAATTGATCTGGTAATTTTTCGCAACGTTTTTCGCAATTTTTCGTCTCTTTTGGAAGTGCACCTGCATGCTTTTTTAGGGGTAATACGAGAACTAGATGCTACTTTGCATTTTATTAGTTTTTCATCTACAATGCCGCTGTAAAAACAAAATATTGCAGATTTGAAATAAAAACCTAGAAATCCGAAATACCAATGGGGCACCAATGTAAAAGTGCCTTAATGTGGTTGGAAGCAGATCGAGAAATATAACACTCTCATTCATGACTTGTTGAATTTAATTGAGAGTTTTTTCTTAGTTTTGCTTTTTTTATCATGACTGGAACCATTGCAGCATTGCAGCAACGATATTCTCGTTGGAAGGTTGATTCCTCTCTTGAAACAATTGTTTTACATGCGTACCATGTTGTTTATCTCCTGAAATTCATTCGTACATGTAAGGCTGGCTCCTTGCTGATTCGAACAATTGTTATGTGTCCAAATCTACATTGAGTATAGTAGTCCAATAGCCGAAATTGTTTTTTTTAATTTGTGGGTCTTACTCCTCACTTTCAAATCTCATCATTTAAAAATTGATTTCACGGAAAAAAAAATTAATTACTTTTATTTACTTCATTTTTTTTGTTTGTTTTTTCAAATTTTGTGTCGTGAACTTCAACCTTTTTTAATAATCATATTTTACTGTGAATTTATCAGCTTAATTTTGGAGGGGGCTGACTTCGATGACCGCATGGTCGTATCGCTCCTTCCAGTCTATACCGAAAAAAGCGTACTTTTTTATAGCCATTATTTATTTATTATTATGACTGTTTTTTTCTGGTTGACGAAATAAATCTCTCTCTCTCTCTCTCTATTATATTACGCAAAGTATAATGATTGCTCTTGGATTAACAGTTGTAAGTAACATGTGACCTAAGTTAATAAAACTGTATAAATAACTTTTTTACAAAGTTTGTCCAAGTCATCAAGCGAAGTCCAATTCCATAGAGCCGAGCTAAAAATAAAGGTTTTCACGCCAGAAACGGTGCTAGAGATATTTATCAAATCTCCACAAAGGGAAAAATACAAGATAGTACTCTTATCAAGTCACTCTGATTTCCATAGGCCCGATGAAAAAGCAACTCAAATTTTGAATCAAATATAGAGTGGTGGTTTATATTTCGTACTCCTGTAGTAGTATGCGAATCGCGAACCAAATGGTGGACACGGTAACATAGTATGTGTACCAGTACCAGGTTAGGGTTACGCCATAGATGTGTACCAGGTTAGGGTTACGCCATAATTTCAGGTACAAATACTACAGGAGGTATGTCCCAATCCTTACCTGGTACACATACTACTCTGGTTTCTGCCATGTTGGTTCGCATACTACAAGAGTGCCTTTTTTTTAATTGGATGAACTTTTTTATTTATGTATGTGTCACTGTATGTGCAATTTGACTCATAGGTATTCAGACATGGAATATTTTTTATGCTGTTCAGTGACTATGGGCTTGCCATTTAGTGAATAATTCACAGAGTGGTGCAATTTTTTAAAATAGAGGCGATAAAAAACAAAAGTAAATGGCTTCTTAGAAGAATCATTTGTCTTCATCCACCAGATGTTTAAAAAAATAGAACCATTGAGCCCAGCAACAATAATTAAGTAAAACAGTTCAGGCATAGTTTATGAATAAAAAATTATATCATTTTCGATCAATTTGAAAAATTTATGCAACATATTTCTACTTTTTGTTCATTTGTTTTAATGACTGTAAGAAACCGTGAATTTATTCAAGCTTTTTTGTCTGAATAATATGTATTTTAGAATGTTTTCGACTCTTCATCAATGTTTTCAGTATTTGAATAACCGTTTTGCTAACTGCTAAAATGCTAGTAGTTTTAAATCCCTTGTATCAGGATCCAATTTCTCTATATACTTCAATATATGGTTTTCTTGATACTATCTCTTGAAACTGTAATACTATCTATTTCATAGGTTCTCAAATTGCTCCATACGTCGGAGAAACTGTCCGAAGGAGGAATAACAGCATTAATAAAATTCGACAACAGTAGCGTCGAAATGTGGCAACAATTCAAAGATGGCATTATCTATATTCTATAGCAGGGGTCGGCAACCTACGGCCCGCGGAGCATTATAATCCGGCCCGCGACGCTTCACTAAATTATGGTAACAAAACATCCGTTTTGACGAATATATTTTTTACACCAAATTATATTATAACCTAACAATTATAAATTTCACAATTACTCGTTTAATGAGCATATAATTTAATTATATTTAAGCAAATGGCAACAAAACGCAGAAAAGTTGATGCTAAGTGCAAAAGGTTCAATAGCGCTGAAAATATTCAAATGAAATTTTATGAGATGCAATGAGGAAATAAATCTATATTTTATTCGAGAGATGTATCACTGCTTGATTTTTATTATAAAAAGTACCATCCGTTCGGTTTTTCAACTTTCTAAAAATAAGTGCGGCCCGCCAGTTGCCTTGCAACCTTAATTTTGGCCCGCGAGCGACAAAAGGTTGCCGACCCCTGTTCTATAGCATTGGTTCTTAAACTGGGGTTCCAGTATGAACTGTATATTTCTATACTATATATTTGACTATAGTCACTCTGATTATTGCATTCCCGTTCCCCATTTAATTAACGCCGCTTGCGTGCTTTTCTACTGTTGGTATAAATTCTCGTTAAATCTAAAGGCACAGGCTGCCGTCGCTTTCTCGCGAATGTAGAATGAATAGAGATCAAAACGAATAGAGCAAAATTGTTGCGTTTCACGAAATCAAATGCAAGTTGTTGATTTTTAAAAAATAACCGTTATGAAAAAATAGCACAGTATTAGTGGTACAACCAAAATGCCGATTACAAAATGCTGACGATTCAGATCATATGTGACATCACAATTGTCTGAATGCGACGCAATCCGTGTTGCTCAACAAAAACTTCATGTCACATATCTCTGAAAAAATTGAATTTTGTAGATCCCTAATATCTAAAAACTCAAGGGATTTGTAGCAGGGATACACGGTATTCAAAAATCCCTGACATTTAGACACTTTTTAACATTTCTTCCTGACCCAAATTTTACCACTGGATTTTCGGACATGTCAGGGAAAAAATGGCAAAAGTTCTGGAGGAAAAGAAATACCAGTCCTATCCCGATGTCGCTAAGATGG